AAAAAAAAAAAAAAAAAAACCGCTCCGGTTTCTCTCCACCCGCCGGGAGCCGGGGGGAGGGGCGCTCCGGTCCCGCCGGGCCGGGGCTTGTATCTTACCCCCTTCACAAGGCGCTGGGTTCTTGCAGGTGTGGATGTGGTCTGGATGTTGTCCTGTGTCCTGTGGTCTCTATTTTAGAAAGATTTTTCTTTGTTATATTTTCATAGCTCTATGTGTTTTTGGGAGGAGATTTCCACTGCTCTACTCACGCCGCCATCTTGGCTCCGCCTCTGAATTCCTCAACTTTATATTTAAACCTTTTATCTTTTCTGTTTTTTGTTATAGTTTTAAATTTCATCTTTTTGTAATTTTATTTAAAAAATAACCTATTCGTATTTATGAATGGACTCCCTGATGACTCATAACTTTATATTATGAAAATTTCGAAATAGAAAAACAATAGTATAATAATGAATACCCTTGTACCCATTGCTTTATTTGGAAGATACTGGCCATGATACATTATTTGCAAACATCTCAGAATTTATCTCGGAATAATAAGGACTTCTTTAAAAATCTTAGCTAGGATATTATTGTCATACTTACAAATAAACAATAATTCTTTAATATGTAAACATTAATTATAAATGTTATAACTAATTAGTAAAGATATAGACAGTGTTCAAATTTTTCTATTATTTCATTTTTTTTAAAAAACTATTTCATGATCCAAATAAGGTTCATGGAGTTTTAGTTCTTGTTTAATTTAAGGTGTACCTTAGAGAAATTATAACTCAATGTTGTTTCAGTTTGCATTTTTCTTACTATGAGCATATTTGACTCTGCTATTGTTGCTTTGAAATACGTCAGTGTTTTTAATATTGCACACTTTAGCTCATTGAATTTTAGGTTGATGTTTCCTTTAATACTTTGAAGATATTGTATAATTGTCTGGCTTCTATCTTTTCAGCTGAGAAGTATATAGTCAGTATAATTGGTATTCCTTTGTAGGTAATTTACCTTTTCTCTCCATTAATTTAAAAATTTTCATTATCCCTGATATTTACAGTCTATGTTTTTAACTTGTGGACTTAAAAAATTTCTTCAGCGTGGCATGTAGTGTAAACACAAGATCAATGATATAACATCTTTCAGTTCAGGATAAAAACAACCATTATCTCTAATATTGCTTCTTTCATATTCCCTTTATCCTCTTACAGAATTCCTGTTAAGATACACGTTTATGTCTTTGGTCCATAATGTGTAGAGAGAGAATGTGTGAAGTAGGATTTATGTTTATCCCAAATAGCCATTGTTCTGATAACCATTTAATGACTAGTTCTTCCTTTCCCCAACTGATTAAAGTACTACCTTTATAATGTACTAAATGCCTAGCTACAGATCAATTTTTTTCTAAAGTTATTCCTTTACTTTCAATTATTGCTCCATTATCATTCTGTTACTAGAAATTTATAATACATTTTTAAATAGGGCAAAGCTTGTATTCATGTACCTTCCTTTTACAATAAAACTCTTAAAATCAAATTGTCATGTTTCAAGAAATCCCTACTGAATATATAGATTAATGAAAATCCCAATGAAATTATAGTTTGAGAAAGATTGAAATCTTTATATAATATTTAGTCTTCCTATCCATGAGCCTGGTGAATCACTCCATTTATTCAGGTATTTTTTTCCTGTTTTTTGGTAGAGTTGTTTTGTCTTTGTAATTAGTTCTGTAATTTTAAAAAACAACAAAAAAAAAACTATGGGTAATGAAGGCATAAGCCCAGAGTACACTTCTTAGCTTAACAACTTTAGCCAAAAGGCAAACTAAATTCCTCTTTTGAAGAGGAAGCCTGAATTTCTCATTTGTTTTCCTTCAGAAAGAAGGGTGTGAATGTGGGAAAATATCTCATTTACAAAACCTTATTTGCCATACGTGCTTTATTTGTTGAGTGTCTTCCATGTGCTGGAATTTTCTACATACTCAGAATACAACAATGAATAAATCAGACAAATCTACTTTTACATCACTTCCCCTAAAGTGACATTTATATACAGTTCTGGTTTAGTGATATAGAACTTTGTCTAAATATAAGTGCCAGTTCTATCATTTTGTCCTTTAAAACAACCCTATTGAAGTATAATATTGAGATAGGTTTTATTTTGAAGGCTATCATTTAATCTTCAAAAAGTGAGATCTGTAAAATATTAGCATAATAGTATGTTAAATTGCATGATATATTGTGATTCTTAAAGTCTCCAGCCATTCATCTTTGATACTTACACTATTTATTTTTGTTATTTATACTAAGGCCATTATAAAAGTTACTCAGGAAAGTACTATATTGTCTAATACTAACATTGTTAAGGTCTCTCTCTCCCAAAGCTTGGAACATAGTTCATGCTTCTTTATTGATCCCATTCAAGTTTTAGAATCAATTATCATGAAGAAATACAGATTCTGGAGAGAGAGATTAAATTGGAGGTAATGAAATGAACTTTTGTTTCAAAGTCACATACCTACCTATAACAACTACAGTAAAATTCCTAAGTAGGGAAGCAACCAATTCATCAGTCCTATTTATCAGGTAAACACCAAGTTATGTATAGAACACCTAAATTTACCTAAAACAGTTCTGTTTGGCAGGAAAATTCTGACTCCAAAAAGGTAACTAAAAATGTATATGAAATTTAAAAACCATGCTTTTTCAACTGGTTCTCTTTAGCTTTAGGTTTTTGTTTTCTGAGTTTTTTTTCAATAATGAATTTCAATGCCTATGGCTGAGAAGCAGTCTGCAGGAGAAGCCAGTATAAATAAATAAGATGACAGCTGTAGAAGGAGGCTAGAGATGACTACACTTCATGTCTATACAAATCTCAGTAAAGATTTTAAGCTGTTCAGACCTTCCTGGGAAATAAGGGGAGGGTCTGCACTTTTTTTTTTTTTAACTTTGCCTCCAATAGGGCACTATTTCCACCTTTTTCTTTTACCTGAACTTGCCTTTTTGGCTACAGGGAGGACATGCCCAGTGAAATGTATCCCTGCCCTGCTTGGATCAGAGAAACAAGAAAAGAAATACCCTGACTTCTCTGCTCTGTTGTGCAGGCATATGTCACTTTCAGACTCAACATGGCAGCCAGTGACCTGTCCCCATCATGGGATCTGCCTGCCCAGCACTCTGCCTGTTTCTACTTGAGAAATACTGAGGAGGAAAAGATGGTGGCTGGATATCCAGCAAACTGGTCCCAGAGACCAGTGACCTTCAAAGATGTGGCTGTGGAGTTTGCCCAAGAGGAGTGGATAATGCTTGACTCAACTCAGAGAAGTATGTACAGAGATGTGATGTTGGAAAACTATATAAACCTTGCCTTGGTGGAATATCAATTGTACAAACCTACTGTGATCTCCCTCATGGGTCAAGAGGAGATAACTATGAAAAGGAATATTCCCCAAGGCACCTACTATGCAGACTGGGAGGTTCAACTTAAAACCAAAGAGTCAACTCTTAAGCAGAATATCTTTGGGAAAAAATCCAGTGGAGTGAACATAAGATTCACAATGGATGATTGGTCTTCCACATTAAGAGAATACTGGGCATGCCATAAGATCAGAAAACAGCACAAGATCCCAGAGGAAAATGTGAGGCAAGTGATATTTACCGAAAACAAAACAGCATCTCAGGAGAGATTCTGTGACTATCATGAATTAGAGGAAAACTCTAGACTTAGATCAAAACTTGTTTTTTTAAGGAACATTTCCACTAGTAAACATTGCCACAAATGTTACTTAGATATTGAGTGTTTCAAACAAAACTTAATCCTAAACAATTATGGGAAAAATTATGTGAGTGAGAAGAACTGTGAAAGTTATGAATATGACAGAGCTTTGTGGTATCTTGAAAGAATTCAGACAGCACAAAAACAGTACACATGTTCCAAATACAGTATACACTTCAAACATAATATGCTTCCTGTATGTAGTAATTTTTATATGGTGGATAATTCCTATGAATATAAGAAAAGCAAAACCCTTTCTCATCATTCATCCCTCAAACAACAGGAGGAGCAAACTCCTACTGGAGAGCAACATTATGAATGTAGTGAGTGTGGAAAAGCCTTCAGAAGAATTTCTCATCTTACCTTGCACCAGAGAAGTCATATGAATGAGAAGCAATATGAATGTAATGAATGTGGGAAAGTCTTCAATGATTCCTCAACCCTAAGGAGACATATAAGAACTCACACTGGTGAGAAGCCCTATGAATGTGATCAGTGTGGAAAAGCCTTTAGTCAAAAAACATCCCTTAAGGCTCATATGAGAATTCACACTGGAGAGAAACCTTATGAATGTAGTTATTGTGGAAAATCCTTTGGCACAAGTTCTTACCTTATGGTGCACAAGAGAATACACACTGGGGAGAAACCTTATGGATGTAGTCATTGTGGGAAATCCTTTGGCACAAGTTCTTACCTTATAGTGCACAAGAGAATACACACTGGGGAGAAACTCTATGAATGCAGTGACTGTGGAAAAGCCTTCTACGCAAGCTCTCACCTTAAAGTTCACAAGAAAATACACACTGGAGAGAATCTTTATGAATGCAGTGACTGCGGGAAAGTTTTTAGTGGTCTCTCATCCCTTAGAATGCATGTAAGAACTCATACTGGAGAGAAACCCTATGAATGTAAGGAATGTAGGAAAACCTTCAGTGTTTCCTCTTCCCTTAGAAGACATGTGAGAACTCACACTGGAGAGAAACCCCATGAATGTATTCAATGTGGAAAAGCGTTCAGTCAGAGTTCTTCACTTATTATACACAAAAGAATTCATACTGGGAGAGAAACCCTGTAAATATTGTGAATGTAGTGTTGCCCTTTTGTTTTAAGGTGGACTCCAAGCTCGTTCTTTGAGTCTTTGTTCTCTAAAATAAGCATTTAAGGCTATAAATAGTCCTCCAGACACCTCTTGACCTATGTAACATATCTATGTTAACTTGTTTTAATTCTTAATGTCTTAATACTTACTATTTTTGATCCACAGTTATTTGACATTATGTGCTTTTAAAATGTGAAGAAAGGCTTTTAGTTATCTCATTGATTTCTAAGTTAAGTGCATTATGTTAAGAGTATCTGGACTATATGGTACTACTATATTGGTATTGAGTTGCTTTGAAAGTTTATGATTAGAGAGTTGCTTTCTGACCTGGTGTGGCATGTATTGCTAGTAGCCAATCAAACATCTAGCTCATCCTTCCTACTGATGACTCTATTTTAGCTCACAATACCAATATTTCTAGCTACAAAACTTCTCAGCCTTTTTGCAGCCAAATGTAGCCATATCACTCACCCCTGATTAATAAAAAATAGTATCACTGGGGACAAACCTGTCTGGTTTTACCTCTTTGCCATTTGCCTTTCTGCCTTCTCCATTCTTCTCCTATTCCATTTTTCAACCCCTAGAACTGAAAGTGTCATCTTGTAGCCATGAGAATGATCAGGGCCTAGGGATTGTGTAGAAGAAAAATCATGGTTCCCCAAGGACATCTTTAAATAGCTGAACAGCACTGCACTGCCTGTACATGATGTGTGTGTGTGTGTGAGAGAGAGAATACAGTCAATACAGTAACCTTGTTAAAAAGACCATGGAAGTATATAGAATTAAATATTTTATGTGGAATATACAAATTTGGATAGGATCATAGAAAAAGGAGGAATGTTTATGGAACTTTTGTGCTCAGGCTAGAGATGATCGTGGAGCTGAGATCACTAAAAATAAGTAAGAAATCCAGAGAGTTTTCAGACAGGGAAAATAACCAACTTTCAATGCTGAATGAAGCTCATGAGATTTGCTACTTGGTCTTACAGATACCAGATTAGCTCTAATTTACTAAGAAACAAAATATGGAAGGGGGAGCCTACAGTGAGAGAAAGAGGCAGGAGTTGTTTTAGTCATGTCAATTTTATATAGTTTTGACATCCAGGTAAACAGGCTGGTGTGCAATTCTGGACCTGAGGAGGTGTCTAGCATAGAGATATAATTGTAGCAACAGCAGTAGATAGACTACAATAGGTTTTGTGGAGGTGATTGAGATTGCATAAGGAAAATGGATGGTGTGAAAAAAGAATGTCTATCATTGACCATATGTTCATGTATTTTTTATATATTTAAATCACTCCTACATTTTAAGATAAATAAAACAAGAAACCTTAGTAGATAAGAGGAAAACGAGGAAGACTGAAGTTGTATGGAACCAAGACAAACTAGTGTTTCAAGAAGGAAGATAAAGTCAGTTTAAATGCTACAGGTCAAATTAAGTCTTAAAAAGTAGGTACATCATATACCAATGTGAAGATTATTGTTGACCTTAGTTGGAATATGTTGAGGATGGGTGATAGATTAGGATGATTTAGTGATCAGTAAAGGACAAGGAGGTAAAAGACACTGGATATAGATGAGTTTGAGCAGCAGGAGAAAGGGTGGTAGCTGGAGAAAGATTTGGTCAAGGGAAAACGTTTTTAAAATAACAAGAAACTACAAGAATGAACTAGTGGTTACCAAAAGGGGAGGGGTCTGGGAGGGCAGGTGGGGAGGGAAGGAGAAGGGGATTGAGGGGTGTTATGTTTAGTGTACATGGTGTGGGGGATCACGGGGAGAACAGTGTAGCACAGAGAAGACACATAGTGGATCTGTGGCATCTTACTACACTGATGGACAGTGACTGCATTGGGGTATGGGGGGGACTTGATAATATGGGTAAATGTGGTAACCACATTGTTTTTTCATGTGAAACCTTCATAAGAATGTATATCAATCATACCTTAATAAAAAATTAAAAATAAAATAACAAGAAATGAACATGTTTAAATACTAATGTGTCTATTATGGAGAGATTAAATATGCAGGCATGAAAAGAGAGAATCATAAAGTTCATGAGAAAGGGATGGAGGCATGTGGAACACAAATAGAAGGATTGATGTTTGCTACATGAGGGGATTTCCCTTCTCTTAAAAGGAAAAGAAGAATGAGTGAGTTGGTTTTAACTACCTGTTTATTTACTTATATCTCAGTTGCTTGAGCTGCCCTCAAGTATCTGAACTAGTCGCTGCTGTTTGGTTTCTTCAGAGCCCCGTTCTGGCCCAGTGTGGCAGATAATGGTAGTTGATAACCTAATACACATTTCCTCCTCCTCTACTAATAGAACTCCATTTTGTTTAGAGTAGCAATATGTCCAATTAAAAAACTTATTCCAGCCTCCATGGCCAAGTGTGGCCATTCCCTCTGTTTCTGGCCAATGAAATACAGACAGGAGATTGTAAATTTTGTGATAAGATTTATCTGCTGACAGTAAGATGGATGAAAGACTGGTCAGCAGTTTTAGTGAAGATCTCTATGTGGGCACAAGTCCTCCCAAGTAATCAGTAGAGCTTTTAGTGAAAAAGGCAACAAATAGCAGTTTAAGTTGAATAGGGAGTCCAATTGAACAGAAGATGCAACAAGAGACAGAAAGTGGTATAACTAGCTGGTATGAGCCTCAAAGGAAGGTTTTGTTTTGTTTTTTTTATAAGAGGTTTCCATTGTTAGAAGCAATATTGGGAAGGAGGATACGCCCAACATATAGATGTGGAGTCCATGGGAATAAACAGCCCTTTGATATGATTGTTGTCAAATAGGTTTTTCTCCAGGGGTAGCCAAGTTTAAGTTAAAGCAAGGAAATGAATGTTTAGGGAAGTTATTGAGTACATAAAAGAAGCTTCTTTATCATTTAGGGCAATCTCAGAGAGCAGCATGGGTACAGTTTCCAGGACAGGAATTTGGGTTTGTGGCTGGAGCATAAACAGAAGATTGTTGTGATGTCAGTAATGATGGAGAAAATAATGCTAGAGTTAGGAGTGCTAAGATATTGTTCTGACCAGTGGAAACAAAATTTAAAGGGAGGATAGATTAAATTTCAGCAGGTTCTAGGAAGATGATGGACAGTTAGGTTTAGCAGGAGTCACATGTAGTGTGGAAGAACCTGCAGTCGTGCTGTGGAACCAAGTATTCGTTTTATTCATTAGGTATTAGCCCTCAAGGATACAGCAGGAGCAGGCAGCAGTTAGCAAGTGATCCCAAACGCATGTGGTCATTGCATGTGGAGATCATCTTAAGTGGTAATCAGAAAGGGGGCTTGTACTTGTGGGACCCCTGGAAGGTTAGCTTGACCCCCGCCTCCATTTTGTGTCTTCCATCTTGAATAACTATGACCCCTAGCCAACCGGACCTCCTCCATTTTATTCTGTGTCCTCCATCTTGAGTAAGAAGTTTCCCGCTCAGGCCACGCCCATTCCTGCCGAAACCATGCCCAGCAACCTGTGCAACAAGACCCTGACCCTCCTCAGCCAATCAGCTAAGGTCACAATAAACCACCACCACCTCCCTCTTGGAAAGCCCCTAACTGTTCCAAAAGTATAAAAGCAAAAAGGGAACTTTGTTCAGGGTCTCAGACCGAGTCCTGTGTTCTGACAGGCCACTGAGACCCTAGTTCGAACTAGCAATAAAAAGACCTGTTTTGCTCTTGCATCTCGCGACTGAGCCTGGTGACTGTGGCTCCACACGGGGGACTCAAGGAAACGGGGCACAACATACTGTGTTTGGGGATTGAAATTTATTAATTTTGGTCCACCAAAAATTTGGCAAACCAGCTATTGTGGACTCAGGCAGTCTCAGCCCATTCATACTTCAAGTGAATCTTATTGCAAAACCCTCATGACTGGTTTCCAGTGTTTGCTGTGCAGCTGCCACAGTGTCCTTCTGTTATATTTTATTGTTTGGTTTTTAATTATGAAATTAACACATGCATATGAGAAAAAAATGTAAAATTCTGTCATACAGAAAAGAAGGGAAAGCCTTTCCTCTCAGATTCTACTGCCTTGTAAACTTAATGGTAAATGAGTGCACATTCTGTCAGACTGCATTCTATGTACATACAAATATGTTTTTATAAAAATTGGTCACCTCTTAGCTTTTAGGAAGCATTTTTTGTCAGTACATGTAATTCTATTTCATTCTTAATAGCTGCTTAGTATTTGATTATATGAATGTATCATAATGTATTTAATCCATTTTCCCCTCCAGATGTTTTATAATAACAATAGTGCAAAAAACATTGCTTTTATATCTTGCTTTCCTTTCCTTTGTTCTCCACACTGCTTTCAGGGTGGCTCATCTAAAGTACCAATATGATTATATTAGATTTTACTTTTAAATACTCCCCTGGCTTTTTCCTCCTTTTTGCTAAGACCTTTTTACAAGTCCTTTCATGCTTCAACTCTTACCCATCTTTTTAGGCCATGCTACTTGCATCTCTTTACTTTCTCTGGACCTTAACCTGTTCATCATTTAGGTGCTGTGTTCTGTATCTGCTTTAACAACACTTAGCACAGTATTTCCTGTTTATGTGTGCTGCCCTCTAAACTGTGGGCTTGGGTAAGGTGGGAACTGCATCTCAATTTTCATTTCACTCCTGGTACTTAGCCCATAGTAGGTAGGCATTCACTTAAACAGTAAAGGTTTTTTCAATAAACTCTGTGCCTTTTTTACTGTTTCAGTGGAAGCTTAAAATAACTGGGTTTTAAGGGATTGATTGTATAAGGTAGAAATTGCATTGAGTCAAATTTTTAAGTATTAGAGTCACATTCAGATATTCTGCCATGAGAAGCATGCAGAAACCAAGACCATTAAGAGAACTATACTTTAATGGTTACTCATATCCCTCCCTCTCTGCTTTTCCTTCACCTCACTACCCATCACAAGCCCATGTAGTTCATTTTGCATGGTAAGTGTTCATATGATGCTACATTGTGTTATAGTAAAAGGAGTGAAATGACCCCATATTGGTGAGAGTGCAGTGTTCTCCTTGATGCTATTGATGAACTCATAATGCATCCTTTCTTGGGGACAGGTAGGCACTATGTGTCCAAAGTGAGAATATTCATAGCCTGTAGTATAGCAATTTTTTTCTGAGCTTTTATGAAAGATTCATTCAAACATGAATTCATTCAAGCAAGTAACAATAGTCATCTGATTCATTTTCTAGTGAAAAACTGAAAAATTCCTAAATTCCCAATAACAGTAGGTTTGAAAAAGTTATGTACATAAAATGGGATATAATGCAGTCATTAAAATATGTTTATTGGCATGTGGTGATGTATTATGATTTTAAATAAAATTTTTGAAATATTAGAGTATGAACATGTTTTTATTAAAATAAATATTGTAAGTACATACGTATATGTGTGCATTGAAAATATGGAAGGATATACACTAACATGTTATCACGTAATTTCTGAGTCAAATTTTTTTGTCATCTAGTTTCTTCCCGCCGTGTTTTGGGGTGGGGGAGCGTTCGGGTCCCGCCTGGCTGCGGCTTGTATCTTACCCCCTTCGTGTGATGTTGAGTTCTCGCAGATGTAGATGTATCCTGGCTGTTGTACTGCATCCACTGGTGTCTCTTTTAGGAACAGTTGTATTTATTGCATTTTCATAAATATGTATGTTTTGGGGAGGAGATTCCCTCTGAACTACTCACACCGCCATCTTCCCGTGATCCCCCTTGAGTTTATATTTTAATTGGTGAGCTATGAGAAACTCTAGGGGTCTTTCATAGAAGATTGAAATTGTTTTGAAAAGTTCATACTTTTATATAAAATTTTTGCATTAAAAAATGTTGGGAGACCTGTTTAGGAGGCTGTTGTAGTAATTCATGTATGAAATTTGAATGACAGTAGTGTCATTTCCTTATTATACAGAATGAAGACAGTAAATAAAATGAAACATTTGCTTAATGTAAAAGGGAAATTCAGACTAATATGTTATGACTTAAACTCACCTGTAATTTAAGAAAAGCATATCAAAATTATATTTACCATGTTATCAGCAAAACTTTATATTTAGTCTGACATTTTGAAATATTTTCTGATCAATTTCCATTTTTCCATTTTCACCTGTCTTTTAGAGGCTTTTTGTCTAGTTCCCCAGCCTCCTACACAGCCCTAAAACTCAGCAGGTGCCCCATGGGAGACAGCCAGCTGTGCATTTGAGGCTGCTCCGATTTCTCATCTGCCACGTCAACCTCAAGTGACTACTGAAAATTTGTGATTTCTCTCCCCACAGCAAAGCCCCCTTGCCTGGGCAATGCCCAATCTTCAGGCCATATCCAAAAGCAGTAAATGCTACAAGGGAAAGAAATAGCCCATAATCATCAGGTGCCTCAGGAGAGTTGCCCCCACCATTAGAATTTTGGTTAATCTAGATCTCACTGCTTCCACAATTCTATACCTTTCAAAATATGATTTTTACAATTTATTTGTTTTAGTTGGTCACAGCCACAATACTGTATCCTATCTAGAGGCACACTTTTTTAAAGATATTATAGTTAAACTCAACCTCGTAACAACATTGCATTCAACTGAAGGAATAGTTAAAACATACACATCTATGACAGCTACCTCAAGGAGTATGCCCAATGTTGATAGGCAGGCAGCTGTGTACTTAGATTGTATGCAAGAGAACAGTCTGGAGATAAACTAATTCAGAAAAGGTTTCACACAAATTATTATATAGGGAGTCATATTCCAGAAGAGATAGCATCTGTAAGGTGGGAGATGACCTAATGTGCTCTTCTATAAAGGACAGACATATTCTTTGGGAGTATGTTTTTATAATGTATGGATAACTCAGTGACAACAGGGTAGTAAAAATACTCTGTCTCAGAGATACAAACAATGGTTGCATCCCTGAGTATGTTTCACATAAATTTTCTGTATCTTGAATATGCAAACCTAAGAAATTGTGTCTAAAATACAAACTTCTTATACTACACAGATCATAATGCTCACACTGGAGTTTATTCCTTCATGTGTATTGAGATGGTCACACTACAAATCACCACTGTTTCTCTGTCTCAACAGTACAAATTAGAACTGACATATATATATATAATATATGTAATTTTTAAAGTGCAACATCATATACTTCTATTCTTGTGTCTGGCTATTGTTGCCAAATTTCATGTTGAAAACAGCCAACTATTTAGTCTTCTGTTACCTCTAGAAAGCACCAGATTATTTAAAAAATGATTATAATGTTAAACACGGAAAGATGTAACAGATTTTCATGCTAAAATTAAAAAGAGCAACAATGAACCTTGCCAATGCTTCTTGCTATGACAAAGAATACATGTATAAACAAAAATATCTACAAACTGTTTACTTTCTTTTTTCAGTGGCAAGAGGGTTTTGACATCTTACTGTTTAAGCTAGAAATCATCTATATTTTTAACATTTAGCTCTGAACATTTTTTATGCATTCTTACTACTTTTATTTATTTATCTTTTTTTAAAAGTTGAAGCATAGTTGATATACAATATTATATTGGTTTCAGGTGCTGAACATAGTGATTTGACAACTAATTGCTGTTTACTTTCCAAAGCAAAATTTAAACAGATCATTGATAGCAGTATTGCCATGTCCTAGTATCAATATTAGCTTTGGGTACACTCTTTCTGGGGAAGGTGGGATATTCAAATATGTGTAGATATTTGCACATTCTTAACCTACACTGTATTTATAATAACTAGAGATAGGCTACCCAGCTTTTACCTTTAACATTTTTCCCTGATGGCAGTTGATGTTCTATAGTTGCCTTTTACCGCTGCCCTGCCAACCTAGTGGGGAAGCTTTTCCAGGCACTGTCCTATGTGCTGAAGTTAGAGGCATGAACAGACTCCAGCTGGGGAGACAGAAATAGTTATGGTCCCACTTAGTACAAGAGATAATGAAGACATGCCCACAATATAGATGGAGCACATAGAATGGGTGAATTATAAAATACATGAATTCTACTGAATCATGACAGTGACCTTTCTTCTGGTTCTATGGTTGTTTAAAATGTGACAACTTCAGGACACGTATACATCCTAACTGATGAAGTAAATTAAATTATGTGATATTGGTCATGTCTTGGTTTTAAATTCTTTTTGAGTTGACTGGAAAGAAGTTTTTGTTATGAAGACTATATAATCACTGATATTTAAAGCTTCTATAATTCCAAGTCACATATTTATTACTGCTTCTGCCTTAGATTATAAACAAATAATTACAAATACATGAGCCCAAATATATTAGTTGTGAATATGTTAATTGCAAGGGACAGAAACCCAAACCCTACTGAAACCAGATTAAGCAAAATGAGGAATGCATTGGTTCGTAAAACTGGGAATTCAAGGGTGGCACTGCTTTCATGCACGACTCGTTCTGGGATTTAAACAGTCATGGTCAATAAATCCTTTTCTGCTTCTCAGCTCTGCCTTCCTCTCTCCATTCTCAGTGTGGCTCCTCTGATGGAAATATGGCTTCCAGAGCCCCCAAACCTGCATTCTGTCCCCCAGTAAAGCCAGGGGATGTACACTGTTTTTAATGAAAAATAATAGCATAGTTATTTTCTGAAATCGCCCACCACAAATTAATAAAAGGACTTTTGTATAAGTTATGTAGTTCAGAATGCTGTTGCGTAAAGGAATTTTTAGGGAAAGTCTTATTTTTGATAAAATGATTCAGGTAATGTATCTGGTAAGCTGGACTGCTTATCTGTAAAGCACTCCCTCTCGGCCTGATTGCCCCACACTTACCTGATCACAGGCCTCTTGTCATTTTTACCCCATCACTCTTGACTCTTTTCCTTGTTCCAATAAGGCCACATTTGGTTTTTAAATAGAAAGTCCTGCTTACAACAGGAGAAAATAGATACTTCAAAATGCTGTGTTTCTTCCTAGATCCAGACCTAGTCTCTTCCATGAGCAAAGAGAAGCTATTACAAGGACAAGTGCAGTAGCAAGAATGTGTGCTGTCTACACTCCTCTAATTCATGTCATCAAGAACAGAGTAGGGATTCAGCCAGGCAATTCAGAATCCACCCCCATGTTTCCTAAAAAAACACAAAGATACCTAAATTCAGATTCTGAATCTGGAAGAATGGTAACCTCCTCAGACCAAATTTCCATAGTTTTCCATCATTACATTTCCATATAAATTATTTTGGGCAAGGTCCAATCAGCCCCATTCCTCCTAAGTCTATGACCACGGCCCTGAAAGTTAAAAAAAAACCCTTGAACACATTCTTGTTCACCAACGACCCCCAGATGGTGCTAGGGAAGTAATAATGCTGGCCACAATGTAGGAAAGTGAGGGTTTGTACAAAGAATTATTCTGGCAGAGTTTGAGGCCAAGTAAGACAAGTAACCATTAGGCAGAAGCTATGTATTGTTAGGTCACATTAAGTAAGAAAGGAAAAGCCTCTTGTTTTATGAAAGCTTTACACATACATGAAAAAATACACTGAGGCAGTTATTCCAGTGCTAAATTGCCTATTACATACACTCAATGCAAGCAAAGTTCTTAAAAGGCAATCAGATGCTTCCAGGATAAGATAAACCTCTGACTGGGACATTAAAAAATGGGCAAGGTGTACATGGAAAGTGAAAACATAATCTGATTTATTTTGACAAATGTGCTTACAAAAGAAATACCACTGTAAATGGAACAAGGAAAATTCCTTTTCCTATGATGTACCTTATTTACATTTTAGATTTAAGACATGTCTATTCATGTTCAAGGATAAACACGACAGCATAACCTTAAATCCAAACCCTGTCTCAAAGTTGAAACCGTAAGAGACCTAAAAACATTTCTATGATTATGTTCATGTTTCTACAAAAGCACACTATTCTTTATTGTTGATGTCAACATTACAGTGGTTCCATTTTCAGAATCATATATACAATAAAAGCTCAGCAAATCCACATTTGCTATAAATCCAAAGATTTGTAACCTTTTCTGAATTTGCTTTAAAAGAAAACCCAATAAAAAACTTTCACACAGATTCCCTCCTTAGGACTTCTCAGAATACTTAAGATTTTGCCATATTCATTACAACAGTTTTTTCCCCAGTATAATTCTATAGGTTTGAAATACTGAAGATAGTCACTCTGTATTGTTTATTTATAGGGTTACTTTTTCTCCTTGGAAGAATACTTAAAATTTTAATAAATATTGCACAGTAAATAAAGGCATTCCCAAATCACTGTTTGTGTGGCTTTGCTTCATTATGAGTTTTCTGCTGTACAGGAAAAAGTGCACCCTTATGGGTTCTGTCCTGCTTGAGTTGACAGGTACAGAAAAAGGGTTAATCTAAAAGCTTTCTCACATCTACTGGACCTTATTCTTCCCTGGTGGGAATTTCCAAATGTAGAGTAAGGGAATCCTACCAGTTGAATGAAGGGTCTTTTGAATACTGACTGACTTGATCTGGTTTTACAAATAGTGGGTGGCCACTAATGGCTTTCCCACATATTCCCAGGGTTTTTCCCCAGGATGTGGAATGAAGTATGGACCACATTTCTTCACATTCTATACATTCACATAAGGCTTTCCAAAACTTCTTTGAAGTCAAAATAAGGCATTGGCTTTTTTTTTATCCATAAATCCTTAGGTTTTCTCTATAGTATGAATTCACTGATCAGTAAGGAATGAGTGATAATTAAATGAATTTTCATACCTACAGGGGTTGTCTAGTGTGTGTGTTCTCTGATGCTTCGCAAGATTTGAGCTCCAGCTGAAGGATTTATTGCATACCTTACATACATAGGGTTTCTCCCCAGTATGAGTTATCTGATGTAGAATGAGGGAAAAGCTCCTACTAAAGGTTTTGTCACATTCAGTACATGCGTAAGGTTTTTCCCCAGTATGAATTTTCATATGTTGTGTAAGGGAAGCATGCCATGTGAAAACTTTACCACATTCATCACATTCATAAAGCTTTTCTCCAGCATGAATTCTCTGATGTTTAATAAGGAATGAGTGGCAACGGAAGGCTTTCCTACATTCATTGCACTCATAGGGGGTTTTGGTAGTATGGATGCTCTGATGTCGAGTAAGGTGTGAAGAACGGCGAAATGCCTTCCCACATTCAAAGCATTCATAAGGTTTCTCTCCAGTATGTGTAATCTGATGGCGAATGAGTTCTGAGCCACTGCTGAAGGCTTTCCCACATTTCCTACATATATACTGTTTCTTTCCTAAGTGGATTCTCTGATGTCGAGTAAGGTTTGAGGCACGGCTAAAAGCCTTTCCACATTCAGTACACTCATAGGGTTTCTCCCCAGTATGCGTTCTCTGGTGTTCGATGAGGAATGAAAGGTAACTGAATGTTTTATTACAGTCCTTACATTCATGGGGTTTCTTTCCAGTATGTATCATCTGGTGTTTCACAAGATTTGAGATCTGGCTAAAGGTTTTGCCACAGTCATTGCATACGTACGGTTTCTCTCCAGTATGAGTTCTCTGATGTAGCACAAGGGAAAAGCGCCGACTGAAAGTTTTTCCACATTCATGACATCCATAGGGCCTCTCCACAGTACTGATACTCATATGTTCAGACACAGCTTCCTGACGAGACACTGTCACTTGCCTGATACAGCCTTCATTTCCTTGCAGCATCTCAGTATCATCCGCACATTTCCAGCCTCCTTTGAAACTGGAATACTCAGGGCCTTGGGTTAGCATTCTTTCCAGTATCAAATACTGGGATGTGTAACCTTCACATACGACACTTTTTGGAGAAAACTCTTTATTCTCACCATTTGACTCTGAAACTGAAAAAAAAAAAAAAGCTAATATTTCTTTTCTCTGTATTGAGTAAACTAAAAGCCACTCCTCTCTTTCTAATGAGAGAACTGAACAAAATTCTCAGCATTGCATCGTTTTCATAGTTACGTAACAAATCTGAGCATATACCCAGAAATTCAAAAAACATCAAACAGAAGGGAAATACAACTGAATAGGGAGAAAGACTATAAATAAGTAACCAAAGATAAGGAAAAATAGAACTATCAGGAAAATAAGAAATTGGGGAGGATAGATGTTTAGCATTCCTCACCACCGTTTAAGATTTACTCGCTGCCAGAATGACTTGGTAATGAAAATTTCATAATGCTATTAATAAGTGAGTATTCCTAAAGTCCCACAAAGATATACCGTTCACTTCATGTCTTCAGAACATCACACAGTAACTTGTTCTAAGTAAGTAAATAAAATGTTTTTCTGAAAACTATCTTCAATGATTTTCACTCTAACTCTACTTTCCAAACTGGTATGTGAAGGTTAGCTTTGGTATAAGAGTATCTTTCCATCAAGATGCTCTGATAGACAAACCTGTTAGGCCCCAAGTTTCTCCAGGCTAAATTTAAGAAGAGGCTTTATCATTTGGGAGAGAATAATAATTTAATAATAATATGAAGGTTTTTTAAAAATATTTTTTTCTCACATCTTTACTCTTAGAAAACACATAGGGATAAAAGGCCATAATGTATTCAACTTATTCTCAGATGTTTTAGCAGAAAAATCATACATCAGATGATAAAACAAGGCAAAATGTTAGCAATAGATGAATGTGAGTAAAGGGCATATGAATATTCTTTGTACTATTCTTGCAACTTCTCTGAAAGTTTAAAATTATTTCCAAATAACACATTAAGAATTTCATTTTTCTTTGAAGCACATTTCCATATTTATTTTGTATGGGGGGATGCTATCTTTTACTATCACTGACTGTAAACTTACAGGGTAAAGTAAACAGACCTCATATTTATTTAATATGTATCTAAGCAATGAATCAAGATCTGTACATATATAGTAGGCCCATAAAAATGAAAGATTAGGGTAAGGGAAGCAGTAAAATAGCTATTAGGAAAACTATGATCTCAATAAAGGAAAAACCTTACCTGACTCATCAATAAACCTATTAACATCTGAGCACTTCCCTAAGAGCCTTGGGGATATAAACTGAATCATTCTCTTTGGGAATAAATATAAATAGGGAGATAAAAGAGACATAGAAGAAAACAAAAAAATGAAAATAAGGCTCATTATACTTAGAGTAAAAATTGTATGAAAGATCAGAGTTGAGATATAAAAATCCATTGCAACAGATAAAGAAAGGCTTTATCTGGAGAGGTATCCTTGAAGAAACTAGTTGGGAGCTGAAATATAGTATCACAAATACCAGGTGAACTTGGATATTTAATGATGTTAGAAAAAGCTGTTGGAGTTAACTGCACAGACTTAGTATACTATTTGCCATATGATTTCCCAGACCAGTGAGAATGAAAGTAAAAAGCAAAACCAAGAAAACCAGGCTCAAGATATGAGAAGAATGCTGAGTATATATTCCTTTCCCTCTTCCCTCCCTCAAAGTCACCTCACCTCCTCCCATCACCTACTATGCCCATGTTCTTTTTTGGTAGATGTCAAATGGATTTGGTCAAACTTAGCACTTACACTTATTAAAAGCCTAATGGAATACAATATGTCCCTCTTAATCTAACAAAATTCCTATGATAAATCAGCAGCTAATATATTAAAAAAACCAGAAATATCCTTTCTCACCAGTATTACTTCAGATCATTGAGGAAGAATTTGATGTTGTATGAAAAAGAAATTCTGGAAAACAAGATTTAAAAAATCATTATGGGGAGACTTCTGGTTTCTGGTCCTACACATAAGGAGCTTAGAAATCACTACTGTCTTGTGTAGCAGAGAAGGCACATAGTGGATCTGTGGCATCTTGCTGCACTGATGGACAGTGACTGCATTGGGGTATGGGTGAGGACTTGATAATATGGGTAAATGTAGGAACCACATTGTTTTTTTCATGTGAAACTTTCATAAGAGTGTACATCAATCACACCTTACTAAAAAAATTTTTTAAAAATCACTACTGTCTTAAAAAGTAAGAAGCTGAACTGAAAAATCAACTATTTTAAAATCCATAATCCATCAGAGAAGTGAGGTCACAGGGCAAATCTCTGTCCCCCAAAATTGAAGAACAGAAAGATACAGAAAATCCACAATTTACTAGAGCAGAAAACACAAGCAGACCCTTTGCAGGGACCAGTGCTGGAGCAGAACTGTAACTGACGGGTAGCTGAAGGCTCAGTATTAATGAGTGAGTTAAAAACTCCAAGGGGACCCAGGCATCATGGTAACCCCCGCCCCAAACACTTTTGTTTTACCTCCAGTACTTCTGCCAGGTCTCAACAGCAAATATTAGAGAAAAATCCCCTCATGCTTCCAGGAGGGGGAGGAGAAAAAGAACCACTTTGAAATATACCAAGAGCATGCTGTTCTCATTAACAAGGCCTGCTCTCAGGAGAAACTATTTTACCAGAGCATTACATACCTGGGAGAAAAATACTCAATTCCTGCCACCTCTAGTCACCCTGTACCACCTAAGTGGGGGAAAAAAGCAGGTGAAGTTTACAGTTTAGGGGCACAAGTTCACCAAAAGATTGAGACTTAATCATAGGACTGTATAACGCTTCCCCTGCCCCCAAGGCTTACTCCTACATTACTAAAGGTCTATTTACCATAGTTCCTTTTACTCACATCATGTCCACCTCTCAAAAAGAAAAAATTGTAAGGCATACTAAAAGAAAGAAAAAGCACAGTTTGAAGAGATTGAAAAAGCACCAGAACCACAGTTAGATATGGCAGGAATGTTGGAATTATCAGATCAGCAATTTTAAAAAGCTATGACTAATATGCAAAGGACTTTAATGGAAAAAGTAGACAACACTCAAGAATGGATGTAAATTATTGGTGATTATGGTATCAGTGTAGGTTTATCAACTACAACAAAAGAACCATTCTTGAAGGGGCTGGTGTTGATGAGAGAGACCATGCATGTGTAGAGGTGAGGGAATATGGGAAACCTCTGTACTTTCCCATTTTGATGTGAACCTGAAATTGCTCAAAAAAATAATGTCTTCATAAAAGACAAAATGCTAAGGATCAAAAACCCTATAACAAAAATGAAGAATGCCAGAATGCCATTGATGGGCTCAGTAGTCTGTACTCACCTGAGGCAAAAATCTCTGAGCTAGAGGATATCTCAATGGAAACATCCAAAACTGGAAAGCAAAGAGAAAAAAGATGGGTGGGGAACCAGAGCAAATGTCTAAGAACTGTGGAATAAATACAAAAAACTGGAATAAATACAAAAGGTATAACATACATATTGGGAATACCAGAAGGAGAAGAGAGAAACAGAGACATTATTTTAAGCAATAATGACTGAGAATTTCCTCAAGTTAATATCAAATGCCAAACCACACATCCAGGCAACTCAGAGACCACAAAGCAGGACAAATGTAAAAAAAACTACACCTAGACATATCTTATTCAAACTTCAGAAAACCAAAGATAAAGAAAAAATCTTGAAAGGAGCCAGAGGGTGGAAATTTTTATCTATTTGGAGCACAGATAAGAATTACATCTGACTGCTGTGAAACCACACAAAGAAGAGAATGAAGTGAAGAAAAAAATAACCAACCTAGAATCAATACTTGAGAAATTATGCTTCAAAGGTGAAGGATAATAAAGATCTTCTTAGTTATCAAAAACTGATAAAACTTGTTACCAACACACCACCTTGTAAAATCCAACAACTATTTGTGAAAAAACTCGAGGAACTAGGAATAGAGTGGAATTCACTCAACTTTTAAAGATCACCTACAAAAAACCTACAGCCAACATCATACTTAACAGCGAGAATTTGAAGCTTTCCAGCTAGACTGAGAACAAGGCAAGGATGTCTCTTCTCACCACTGCTTTTCAGCATTGTACTGTGATTCTTACATAGTGTAATAAAACAGGAAAAGGAAATAAAAGGTATACAAATTGGCATGGAAAAAGTAAAACTTTTTATACACTGATACACTGTTATCTATGCAGAGAATCTTGACCAAATGATTCTAAGGTTTATTTGGAGAAGCAAAAGACTTAGAATACTTAATACAATATTGACGAAGAAGAAAAAACCAGAAGACTGACACTACCTGACTTCAAGGCTTTACACAAAGATACAGTAATCAATACAGTGTGATTAGATAAGTACATTACAGGAACAGAGAGTTCAGAAGCAGACTTGCATATTTACAGTCAACTCATCTTTGACAAGGAGGCAAAACTACACAAGGGAGCAAAGGTAATCTTTTCAACAACCAGACATCCACATGCATAAAAATGAACCTAGACAGACATTATACTCTTCACAAAAATTAATTCAAAATGGATCATAGACCTAAATGTAAAACACAAGACTACAAAATTCCTAGAAGGTAATATGGAAGAAAACCTGATGACCTTTGTATTTATATCCAACACCAATGGAAAGAAGTAGTTAATAAGCTGAACTTCATTAAAATTAAAAACTTCTGCTCCGAAAAACCAATGTCAAGAGAATAAGACCATAGACTAGAAGAATATATTTGCAGAAGACTTATTTGGTAAGACCTATTATCCAAAATATACAAAGAACTCTTAAAACTCAAATATCTTCTTAATGGGCAAAAGACCTGAACAGATACTTCACAGATGGCAATTAAAATATGAAAAGATATTCAACATCATCTATCATTTGGGAATGGTAAATTAAAACAAGACACTACTATATACCTACTAGGATGGCCAAAATCCAATCCACTAACATCACCAAATGCTGACAACAATGTGGATCAACAGGAACTCTCAGTTCATTCCTAGTGGGAATATAAAATGGTATAGCCACTTTAGAAAACAGTTCGGCAGTTTCTTACAAAACCAAACATACTCTTACCATATAATTCAGCAAGCGCAAGAGCTCCTCGGTATTTACCCAAATGAATTTAAAACACATTCACACAAAAACCTGCACATGGATACTTACAGCAGGTTTATTCATAATTGCCAAAACTTGGATGCAACTACGATGAAAAAAATAAACTGGCACATCCATACAATAGACTATTATCCATCACTAAAAGGAAATGAGCTATCAAGCCATGAAAAATGTATAAAAGAATTTTCAATGCATAATATCAAGTGAAAGCTGGTCTAAAAAGGCTAAAATGCTCTATGAATCCAACTACTGACATGGAAAAGGCAAAACTATGGAAACAGCAGTGGTTGTCGGGGGTTAGGCATAAGGAAGGGATAAACAGGCAGAACACAGAGGATTTCAAGGACAGTAAAACGATTCTGCATGATACTACACTGGCAGATACATCATACATTGCTCAAATCCCATAAAATATGCAACACCAATAGTGAACCCTAATGTCAACTATGGACTTTAGGTGATAATGATGGGTCAGGTAGATTCACCAGTTACAACAAAGGCACTGTTGTAGTGTGGGATGTTAACAGTGGGGGAAGTTGGGAGCACGGGGTATGTGAGAACTCTGTACTTTCCACTTAATTTTTCTGTAAACTTAAAACTGCTTTAAAAAAGTTTATAAATTAAAAAAAAAATCACTACAGTATTTGCAAGGAAGAATCAATCTAGAAAGGGTTAGGATATTTTTATTACTACAATAAAGACTGAGAGATATAAACACACAAATTCACTAGTGTTCTTATAGTAAAATAATGTAACTTGTTAGAAAAGAAACTAAAGGAAAGTTACTTAAGAATAAATTCAGTAATAGGTATACAGGGATTTTACAAATAAAATTCAAAATTCTAAGGAGCTGTGCAGATGACTCCTAAATGTGTGCTATACCTCAGTATCAGCGTCTGTTTAAGAAGCAAATTCTTGAGTTCTACCACAAACCTAATGACTTAGAATTTCTGGTGTGGAGCCTGGGGATATGTATTTTAAAACTCTCCAAATAACTAAAATTTGAAAAGCACTATGATGTCGCATGCTCCAGAATATGATGTCAATTGTCTAGAGAATAATCAAGTATCTCGCAGACCCAAAACTCATTAAATTACAAACTGATGTAAACTCCCCTTCCTGTTCACATTTGCTCATCTTTTTTTCTTTTTAAGGAAAAAAATAATACCAATAAAAAGAAAGGTATCAACCTCAATTTCTCAATCATCTTCATAGCTTTTATCTAGTCAATCACCAGGTTCTTTTGAGTCCACTTTGTTAATTTGTTACCAATCTGTATAGTTTTTTTTTCATTCCCTAGACACCTTCACAGATCAAGATGATTGTATCTAGACTAGGTTATGGTATGGCAACAATTCTTTAATAGTTCTGTTTTCTAGTCTTGTTTCCAACAAATCTGTTTTCCAAACTGTAGCTAGAATAACCTTATAAAATGCTTGCTGCCTAAAATCTTTTGATGACTCCCTATTAGCTGTGGGATGAACTCCTAAGTAACATGACTTTAAAGCATCTGCATGAACTGGGCAGTGCTTTCCCTAACCAGTCTTAATTCCCACCAAGTCCCTCCTTGCACTATATAGTTTTGCTCAATCTAGACTGAACCTCATATCTTCATCTTATCAGTATGATCTTTCTATATGCTATGAATTCCCCCCCACACTTATAAAAGTTAATGTGAGTGGCTCCACTCCTGTTAAGATGGAGTAAGTATACTCCCACCTGTCAACCTATTGAGTGCAAGTAAAAGCCATGGATGGAATGCATGCAGCTGTCTGAAGACTCTAAAAGTAAATGGTAGCAAGTTGATTGGGGAAAGAAAACAACTCAAAGTAACACTTAACTGGTGGTTGAGTTTCTTGGGTGTTTTTTCCTTCCAGTCTGTCAAACTAAACTCAAAGGCACCCTGAAAGCAAGAACTGTTCAGAAGATAAGAGGAGAAAGAACTCCAAGAAAAACCTCTCTTTCTGGTCTGAGGAATGGGAAAGAAAATCATTACTAGTCAGAGAAATCTTTTGTTTGTTCATTTCCCATTCTCTCCTGCCCAACCCAAGGCAACAGTAACCATACAATCAAGACCCCAAGGCAGGGTAACCTTTCTTTCAGCACAGGGTCTATGGTCCCAATAGCACAGAGGTAATGCCAGGTTTTTTTTTTTTTGTATCTCCTTGTTGCTTGGCTGCAGAGGCAGACCCAGTTACAAGAAGTGAATAGCACAGGGGAAACTAAAGGTCTGGCTTTCTATCCAGCTGACCTGAAAGATGAGGCCCCAGAGCCAAAAAGGGTAGGGGACATTGAAGAAGGGAGCTCAGGAAGATGATCCCATAAAGTTGTGTATGAAATCCTGGGCTGGTCACTGAGTTGTATATTCATGGATTTGACCCTCTATAGCATACTAATACCTGTGTGAACTGAAACAAGGGGGAACCCACTGCCCAAGTTCCAGCAAGGCCACTAAAGTGTGCACAGCAGGAACAACAGACCTACAATGGCTTTGAAAACTATACTGTCATTGGAACCACATACACAGAAGACAGGTTAGAACATGTAGCCTCAACTCATCTGTACCAACAGCCTGCGGAAATAAAGTTAACATGTCAACATAATTTAAACAAGACCAAAGTCTTAAAATATTTAAATGATAGGTTAAAAATCCAAAGTTATAGGTCATACAGAGAAACAGGAAAATTTCATCATCTTGCAGGGAAAAGACAATGAGCTATAAAACACATTTACAGAGCATTTATATATGGATAATGCATTGAAAAAATATTAGGCAAAACTGTTATTTTGTTGTGAAAATGATATTTTAATTATGTATAAAATGTCCCTATACTTATACATGATAGTAAAGAACTATGCAGTGAAATGTCAAACGTATCTCTTTAAATTATTCCATAAAAAAAGGCTGAGGTGAACTAATACAGTAAAATGTTATCTACTATTAAATCCATAACTAAAACTGTATAGATTTATGCAAAGACAGAAAAATAGACAAACAAAAAAGATAATTCAGAAACATACAAAAAATGACATTTAACTTATGACAAAACAGGGAAAAGAACAGGTATGTCAATAAATGGTGCCATGGATAACTTGGATGTCCACCCAGAATAGAAAAATTGACCACTAACTCACATACACAAATAATAAACTGAAAGAGAACAATGGGTTTAAATGTGAATGGCAAAATAACTAGGCTTTTTTAAGAGAAAATCTAAAAAACTGTAGGGAAAGATTTCTTAACAGGTCAAAAAATATATAAATCATAATGGGAAAGACTGGTAAATCTGAATACACTAAAATTAAGAATTTCTGTTCATCAAAAGAGGTTATTAAGGGGAAAAGTTAGCCCCATATGAGAGAAGCTTTTGCAGTGAATATAATTAAGAAAGGATTTGTATCTGAAATACATAACAAATATATTACAGATCATTGATGAAAGATGAGGCCCCAGAGCCAAAAAGGGTAGGGGACATTGAAGAAGGGAGCTCAGGAAGATGATCCCATAAAGTTGTGTATGAAATCCTGGGCTGGTCACTGAGTTGTATATTCATGGATTTGACCCTCTATAGCATACTAATACCTGTGTGAACTGAAACAAGGGGGAACCCACTGCCCAAGTTCCAGCAAGGCCACTAAAGTGTGCACAGCAGGAACAACAGACCTACAATGGCTTTGAAAACTATACTGTCATTGGAACCACATACACAGAAGACAGGTTAGAACATGTAGCCTCAACTCATCTGTACCAACAGCCTGCGGAAATAAAGTTAACATGTCAACATAATTTAAACAAGACCAAAGTCTTAAAATATTTAAATGATAGGTTAAAAATCCAAAGTTATAGGTCATACAGAGAAACAGGAAAATTTCATCATCTTGCAGGGAAAAGACAATGAGCTATAAAACACATTTACAGAGCATTTATATATGGATAATGCATTGAAAAAATATTAGGCAAAACTGTTATTTTGTTGTGAAAATGATATTTTAATTATGTATAAAATGTCCCTATACTTATACATGATAGTAAAGAACTATGCAGTGAAATGTCAAACGTATCTCTTTAAATTATTCCATAAAAAAAGGCTGAGGTGAACTAATACAGTAAAATGTTATCTACTATTAAATCCATAACTAAAACTGTATAGATTTATGCAAAGACAGAAAAATAGACAAACAAAAAAGATAATTCAGAAACATACAAAAAATGACATTTAACTTATGACAAAACAGGGAAAAGAACAGGTATGTCAATAAATGGTGCCATGGATAACTTGGATGTCCACCCAGAATAGAAAAATTGACCACTAACTCACATACACAAATAATAAACTGAAAGAGAACAATGGGTTTAAATGTGAATGGCAAAATAACTAGGCTTTTTTAAGAGAAAATCTAAAAAACTGTAGGGAAAGATTTCTTAACAGGTCAAAAAATATATAAATCATAATGGGAAAGACTGGTAAATCTGAATACACTAAAATTAAGAATTTCTGTTCATCAAAAGAGGTTATTAAGGGGAAAAGTTAGCCCCATATGAGAGAAGCTTTTGCAGTGAATATAATTAAGAAAGGATTTGTATCTGAAATACATAACAAATATATTACAGATCATTGAGGAAAGACAGAGAATCCAATAGATAAATGAGCAAAAACCTTCAAAAAGCACTTAACAAATGAAGGTATCTAAATGTCCAATAAAAGTATGAGCAAGTGCTCATCAGTAATCAGAAATGCAAGCTACCAATGCACACTCTTCTGCTAGGTGAATATTATGATGCTTAACTGTGTCAGGTGTTGGTAAGTATGGGGAGCCAGAGGAAGCCACTTTTCTGTGTTTGTGGGAGTGTAAGTCAGCAAAGCACTTTGGAGAACTTCAGCATTACCTAACAATGTGGAAGAGGTGCATCATCCTTTGACCCAGCAATTCCAGTCCTAGTTACATACTACAGGGAACCTGTGCCAGTATGTACCAGGATACGGTGACGGCAGAAACACTGCTTGCAAAGGCCGTAAACTGCAAACAACCCAAGAAGCCCTCAATAACAGAATGGATAAATTGGGGTGTACTTATTTATACAATGAAACAAACTACTAGAGCAATATGCAAAATGCATAAATCTTCAAATAATTTTGAGAGAGAAGCAAACTACAACATAATGTATCCATTATGAGCTTCTCTATCTCAAGTTCACAAACATACAAACCTGAACCATGGTGATTAGAGAGAAGGTTGATAAAGCTCTAAAGAATATCGAGGAAGTCACTACCATTAAGGTAAGGGGAAGATTACTTTTCAGTAGAGGGTGGGGGTGACTGGGATGAGCGCAGAAAAAGCTCTAAGGCATCTCTTCTGTTCAACAACCTGAGTGGTGGTGACATGGGTGTCTTTTAATAATTTTAGCTGCACACTTATCTTTTACACATTATTTCTGGGTGGTATTTCACCTTTCAAACAAGGTACTGGGAAGCCCACAACAATTCCAACAGCTGTTGTATTAAAGTAGTGAAAATAGAGGCAATTTTAATGTTTGCCTTTTACCTTACTTCCCTTGTATATAGTTTTGTAAGTTTCATTATTTTAAAAACATTTAGAAAAAGGACATCTCTTCAATTCATACTTAAAGCCTCCCTGCCCTTGTTCCACCTTATGACCTCGGCTCACATCCATCTTTCTTTCTACATCCTCCTTAAAGCCAGAGCTCAGTTTTCATGGCACCTGCTCCGGTTCCCTCATCAGTCCTTCCAAGCTGCTGCTTCTCATTAAATGTAAGCATTCCTTCTCAATAGGACTCAATAGGACTACTCTCTGAAGCTCATGAGAGGTTTGCTTCAGGAGCCACTGTAGAATTTATGAAACTTTTCATCAATACATATAATTGAAGCTCCACAGATATTCTATGTCAGAATCTTCAAGAGTGGCGCATAGCCACATTTTTTAAAGAGCTTCACCAACAATTCTATTGTCAACCACAGCTGAAGGCTTTCTCAAGGCTGTCTCAATCAATCTCACTGCTTCAAATTTTGCTTCTTAAGATTCCTACATCCACATCTCTAACATCAATTTTTTTTCTAAGATACATCCCAAAAATCTGTTGCACAGCTTCACTTGGAAATACTATCCTCTACTCTCATAAAGCATACCTCCAATTAATTCATCTTTTTTCTAAAACCAATCCTTTTCCTGTCTTTTATGTTTCTATTACTACTATCCCTATTCAAATTATCCAGGCTTAAAACACCAACTGGAAATTCTTTTTTTCTCACTGCTGAACTGCCAATTTGATAATCTCTAACAAAGTTATTATAGACCCATTTTATTTCATGAGGCCACACCTTCCTTGATAGTAATTGCTATTTGATATGCCCTATACTCTCTCTAGCACCTAAGAAGTCTCCAAAAGATTAAAATTTCAATTAATATTGTTGAGAATATATAAATGAATGAATGAACCCATCAATTAACCAAAGAGTAATGAATTTATCTTTACAAGATGGTTAAAAAGAACAGCAGGATAAATAAAAATATACACCTTTTATTTTAGGCAATAGACACATCAATTTCAAGAAAGGAAAGGGAGGAGAAATTAAAAAAAAAAAGAAAAAATTCAGAGCCAAGACAGAACTAACAATAGAAAGGACACATCTATCTGTGAGAAAGTGGGGGAAAGGCTACAATGAGAACTGAAGGCAGAGTAGTGAATAGCCATGAAGTGGTCCCTTACAGAACTGTGAGTACAACTTCACATTCTCTGTATCTCTGCTATCTTTAAGGGAAAACTTTTCAAGCAACATATAAAAAAGTATTGTTTCTCACTGACTAAATGGGTTGTTATTTTTTAAAATTTCCCCACCAGCTTCTAAACTCACCTGAAAACAGATCTCTTCTCTTATCTTCTTTCCCCAGCCATGGCTCTTTCCCTTGCTCCAATAAGGAAACCACATACGGCTTAGAAATGTTAAGACCTGCTTACAGAAATTGAAATAAATTCATTATCAGTCCTGAATTCTCAGAAAAAAGGGGCCATTACAAGAATTTTGAGAAATAAATATGAAAGATATCTAAAGATTAGGTAAAGTTATGATCGTCAGCTTAAAAACTAATTTTAAAAAATACCTCCTTGCAAATATGCAGCCAGATAATTAGGATTCAGAATAGCCATCCTAAAGGTAAAATTCTGACTAAGAGGAAATAAGGAAGAATACTTACCCAGTGAGACCAGGTGGCCATAGTTCTCTAACATTACATGTCTGTACAAATCTCTTTGAGCAGGCTGAAGCCATTCCCACTCCTCCTGGGAGAAGTCTATGGCCACATCTTTGAATGTCACTGACCCCTGAAATGACATAAAGATAACTGGTCAACCAGCACCCAAGCTCCCAAAGGCCCTGATTAAGAAGTGAAACAAGTCCCACTGTGGAGAACAGATGGTATATGTAAGTAGTGGCAATGGGAGTTTCTATAATCATGGGTAATAAGAGTATAACTCAGAACGTAGCAGTTTCATTTTGTATATAATTGGAGAACATTTGTTGAATAATTGGAGAAAAGGAGAGAAAATACATGTCATTTGTCCAAGATAATCTACAGTTTTATGAAAGATAAACGACTATACACATGAACACCATGGATTTCTGGCTATAGTTTTTTAAATCCCTGAAATCTTAGAACATTTGATGAATAATGAAAATAATTCCTTTGTATTTAACAGACAAAAATTATTATTTTTTTCTTAATACCAGCCTATTTTTATATGAGTTAGCAAAGAAGTTCTTCATGGTAACAATTGGCTGTACCAGAGAGCAGCAGGATATTCCAGAAGAAACACCAGTGAAACTTAAGAGGCAATTTTAACAATGTCACAGAACAACCGGGGATAGTAAGTAAAGTACAAGAACCTCCCAAAGACAGAATATAATACCTCCAAGGATGAAATCTGAAGTTTTTTCCTCCAGGTTTAGGGGGAGTAAAAGTCCCTGCTTTGCAGCCTGGTTTTGTACCACTCAAGTGATCTATCTACATAACTATCAGTCAAGAACAGAAATTGCAAAAGGTCCCAAATTAGAAGAGCCCCAGAGTTATATTTTACTAACTAATGAATTGTTTCCTAGAGTAAATGGGATCTGAAGCACAGGTGGAAATCGGACTGCCCAGCAAAACTCCAGATCCTCTGGATTTGGAGGCAAGTATGACAAGAAGTGGTACACAAAATGGAACTAAATACAGAGACTAATTTGGAATAGTTGGCCTTCTCATCCCTCACCTCTGTGAAGCATAACTGTCAGCCAGGCATTTAGTCACTATCAGAACAAAAATAACCGGCGTTCCTTGCTAAGGAACCTTAATGCCATGTCTGAAAAATAAGCTCTGTGAATTCAGAGACTGTGTTTTGCTCACTGATGCATCCACCCAGGATCGGTTATATATGAGAATGGACTGTTAAACACAGACTGCTGTACTGTACACTCAAGTTTCTGGTTCAGAAGATCTGGGATGGGACTCATAAACATACATTTCTAACACGCCCTAATAAGTTTCTAAATTCTCAGGTGATCCCCGGATCACACTTTAAGACCACTGATAGGGGTGCTGAAAATAGATGCTCAATAAAAACATGATGAATAAATGAATGGACAAACACAAGAGACATAAACCATTTTTCATTCTAATACTGGGAAAAAGAGGAAGCAACGTAAAAGTTAGCTCCCTACCTTCTCACCCTAGAACATGCCTGCTGGTCAGAAACCCCGCTCATATGGGGACGGCTTTCCGTCAACCCTCGTGAGTACAAGAGCCTGAAGGGGAGGAACAGGGACAGCATCCTGAAGTTCCGTAACTCCAGATCCTCTGGATTTGGAGGCAAGTATGACAAGAAGTGGTACACAAAATGGAACTAAATACAGAGACTAATTTGGAATAGTTGGCCTTCTCATCCCTCACCTCTGTGAAGCATAACTGTCAGCCAGGCATTTAGTCACTATCAGAACAAAAATAACCGGCGTTCCTTGCTAAGGAACCTTAATGCCATGTCTGAAAAATAAGCTCTGTGAATTCAGAGACTGTGTTTTGCTCAATGATGCATCCACCCAGGATCGGTTATATATGAGAATGGACTGTTAAACACAGACTGCTGTACTGTACACTCAAGTTTCTGGTTCAGAAGATCTGGGATGGGACTCATAAACATACATTTCTAACACGCCCTAATAAGTTTCTAAATTCTCAGGTGATCCCCGGATCACACTTTAAGACCACTGATAGGGGTGCTGAAAATAGATGCTCAATAAAAACATGATGAATAAATGAATGGACAAACACAAGAGACATAAACCATTTTTCATTCTAATACTGGGAAAAAGAGGAAGCAACGTAAAAGTTAGCTCCCTACCTTCTCACCCTAGAACATGCCTGCTGGTCAGAAACCCCGCTCATATGGGGACGGCTTTCCGTCAACCCTCGTGAGTACAAGAGCCTGAAGGGGAGGAACAGGGACAGCATCCTGAAGTTCCGCCGGCCAGGAGCCTTCAGGAGAAAGCCTATGTCCCCGAATCCTGAAAAACACAACTGAGTTATAAGAAAGGAAACACCAGCTTACCTGGGGCATGGCTCGCAGTAGACCGAGAACAGCACAGTGTAAAACGGCCGAGCTGCAGGGAAAAGAAAGCAGCCCTGAGTGTGCACGCCAGTTGAGCCCTGCCAGGGCCACCGGGTCCCACCAGCCGTGGAGCCCTGTCGCTCCACAACTACCGGCTTCATCCTCAGGGAACCGAGGATCCAGGGCACCCGGCAGGACTCCCACTCTACTACAGCGTAGCTCCGATGAGCCTACACTTGACCTGCCCCCCAAAACTTTCTATTTTAATGGTATCACAAGACAGCGCGTTCCTCCGCTTTTGGCTGGGTGGGCGAACCATTCCCGAGTCCTGGACGGAGTTACTATCCCGGGACCCCTGGCAGGGATCCCAGCGCAGGCAGCTTGGGCCCCTTCTCTTACCTGGGACCCAACACGGTCCAGACTCGGATTTGCGTCCGGGGAACCTGACTCCAGGGTCGCGCAAACAGCGCCTTCAGGAACCTCAGGGACCGGCCCCCGGGACCAGGCCGTGGCTTCAGACAACTACACTACACAGGGCCCACCGCGGCCTCCGTGCGTGGGAGGAACTGTGGGACCACAATTCCCAGAAGGCTTCGCGCCCACGGCGTCAGACCACGGCCTCAGAAAACTACGCTTCCTAGAGTTCACCGAGGCGCACGCGCGCGCGCGCACGCACGCACGCACGCACGCACGCACACACTCACTCACTCACTCTCACTCTCACTACGACGTCCAGAAAGCCTCGCGCCCGCAGCGCCTAGGACTACACATGCCAAGGCGCACAGCAGCCTTGGGCCTGGGAGGAAGTACGTCCCCAACTCCGTAAAAGCACGACCAGGGAGACAAAGGGACTAAAAACTACACTTCCCAGGGGCCACTGCGGCCTCCCTGCGTAGGAGGAAGTACGCCCTCAACTCCCAGAAGGCCCCGCGCCCACGTCTCCAGAACAAGACACGGGACTTCAGATAACTACACTTCCCAGGGCGCACAGGAGCCTCCATGCGTTCGCTCACGCACGCGCACGCACACACACTTCAAGTTCCAGAGCGCCGTCTCCTGCAGCTTCTCGGCGTACGATTCCTCGGCCTACTTATTAGAGGTGCTGGTTTGGGGCCTGGGTTCTGGGGGACAGATCTGTAACAGCTGTGTAAGAAGCAGCAGGTACCTAAGAACCCTGATAACACTACATGTGCCAGAAGGTGTGAGGTAAACACCACAAAGATTTAGGGGCCTGATATCAATGACATTTGTAGAAGTTGAGTGAACTGAGGAATGTTAGGATATCCTCTAAGGTATAGGACAAGTTACTAAAATTCACACACCACACAGGAAGAGCTACAATGCTTGGAGGGGTTCTTTGAATTCGTAAGGCAGTATTGAACACATTTGGAAATTCTACTCTAACCAATTTCTTGCATAATTTGGAGAGCTTACAATTTTGAGGGGAGCCTAGAATGAGACCTGGATTGGTGCAAGGTATCCCAAAAGTTAGGACGTGATGCAGATCTGTTAGAAACCAAGGTAGTAAGGATCCTGACAGGAATGAAACTGGAACATCATGGTCAAGGAAGTCTGAGGAAAAAGTAACCTGGTTGAACACAATTTGGTAGTCGACATAATGCATGTGGATTTTTATGTCTCACATTAATTCCTAGAAGAGGCAGAGAAAGCAAAAGGGATGACAGTGTAACTAATCTTGTGCACACTGGCTAGATTCAGATCCAGTGACCTATTTTAAGGAAAAGTATAATAGTAGGATTGTGGTTATGATTAAGCACACTAGTGTTAACATGTACTTACTCACCTAAAAGCAGTCAGCCTGAAAGAATGGTAAAACGGCCTGTTGATGCCTCCTCAGCTCTACAGTATGTATGTACTTGTGACCCTATTACATGGTCTATCCTCAAGGATATCTAGCGTCTATATTTTTTTATTGTATAGACAGGAACTTCATAAGCTGTCCAGCTATTCTGGTCCTTACGATCATATGCTAGCCACTTCCAAAGGTTTCTGTAGGTCCAGAAATTCTGATTACCATATGACACTGAGTCTGTTGCAGTAACCATGCCCACCTTTGCCTCTCAAAATTAAATTCTGCCACTAGGAGTGTTCAATCCCAGAATCCTATCTCCTTTGATGTCAGGGATCTCACTTCAGTGGCAGTATCTTCCATCTTTACCCATGGCCTACAACTCATGGCCATGACCAACCACATTTATACAGGCTGCTGCTGGTGCTCCCTTCACCCAATAATTTCTCAATGTCCTGAACCCTCTTGGAGGTCAAAATTGGGGGAATTTGAGTGAATTACCTCAGGATAAATCTGTTATCAACAACTATATATCCATAAATCCCAAAATTATGCCTAGGAACTTCTGACATCTTAGTATTGGCCTCTGTCAAGTCCAGCTTTCAGCTAATCAACTGAACAGAAATGATACTAATAGAACAACAAATTTAAAATCTTGTTCATGATAGAAGCTAATAGAGACAAACTTATGCCAAGATGGAACAAGAATGAGAGAATTCACATATAAATATTAATGAAACATTCAATGTAGAGATAGCAATTACAAAGCTAGTATGTATAATGTAAATAATACATAAATTACTAGAAAAGCACCCTACTAAAACTTCATGAGTAAGATACAAAGCAGTGTGTAAAAGTGCAAATCGTCTTCTGTGGTAGATGGCTAACCCTTCACAGGGTTTGTTGCCTATCTTCTGGAATGCATGATATATCAGGGTATCCAACCTGTTGGCCACCTCTTGCTCATCCTGAAATCTTGTCATCATTTCACTGCTGTGATGTTCTATGAAATGCCCAGATAGTCTACGTTTCTTAAGACTACATTATGACAGCCTGGGGTAAGGCTGTGAATGTGTAATGTTGTCTGCTCCATGTTGATGCAAACATTTTCTGATCCTTTTTCCTAAGCGGGATAACAAGAATGCATTTGTCAAATCAAAGATTGCATATTGTGTATCTGAGAGCATAAGAAACAGCTTTAGAAGCAGTGTCATGTCTGCAAGTGGGACTACAGCTTGGCTGTGTCTGTGTAGTCCATCCTTATTCTCTAGGATTATCAGGCTTCTGCAAGGTGGAATTAATAGGGATGTGATGACAGGAAGACCTCTGCATCCTTTAGATATTTAAGAATAGCACTAATCTCTGCCACCCTCCTCTCAGTCTCCTCCCCTGAAAGCAGTATTTTTTATTACTACTTCATCTTTCAGAGCCTCCCATGTGGCCTTGTCCACCATGGTAGTCCTTAACCAAAGACCAGAGACCCAATGGAGAGGTAATTCCCAGGAATGTCTCTGGTCCAGGTCCACCAGCAAAGTCCCTCTCACCAGGGCTGATGGCTACTGCCACCACTTAATGTCCAGAACTAGAGACCAAGGCTGAGCCCTCTATACAGCAACATTCCTTGAGCAGACCCAACTAGCACTTGGTATCAAGTTGACTCTTTTGGCCCTGGAAATACCAGTGTTCTCAAAGGAAAAAAAACATCCCCAGGCATGGGTTTCTTTCCTGCTTCCAGGGCCTAAGCCAACACCACTATCCAAATTACAAAATGTCTGATTGACCACTATGGGATCCACTGGGTATGTCCATACCTCACCTTACAGTAGTTGTTAATGCAACAGAGCACTGGAATGACCTAGTGAAGGCACAGCTGAAGCTCCAGCTCAGAGGAAATATTGTCAGGACAGGTGCCATCTTTCAGAATACAGTATATGAACTGGATGAAAGGTTTTATATGGTGCTGTGTCCCCAAAGTAGAAGAAGCTCCAAAATTCATCTCATCATTTGCTTCCAGAGACCCCAATTTAGACAAAGCCTGGTGTTCTGTTAGGAGTATTTGGGATGTAAGTAATAAACACCAATTAAACCAGCTGAAGCAATCATGGGGATTTATTAGGTGGGTATTTGGGATACCCCACAGAAACAATCAAGGCCTGAAAAAGGGCAGAGATGACTCTGGACATCAAGACAAGAACCAGATGCTGAGACTCAATCAGGACTGTGCCTTGACGGCTTCCATGATGGCTGCATTCTTCTTTCTCATCGTAGACTATGCTTCACTATGTAGTAGAAAACCCTACCACTGACAGCACTCACATTTATGTATTACAGCTTCAGTTGCTACAATTACGTAGAAAACGAGAGTCCCATCTTTCCAGAAACCTTCTAATGTAAAAGATAAAGCATGCAATAGTTATATTATCACAGTGATGAATACATGCACAGGTCCATATAGGCCACAGTCATTAACAAGGAACAAAGGCATTTTGGAGGCAGTTGATCTACAAAAAGCCTAAAATGAGAGATTATAGAAACCTCAAGGAACTGAAAATAGTTCAAGGAGGCCAAAGTATTATTGTGCAGGACGAAATACTCAGAAACAATGGACAGGCATGGATTTGTATGAAGTCCCCGCATACCCTAAGGAAATTCCACAATTAGCCACATCTCTCACTCAAGTGTGTAATCAGGACTGCATCTTAAGGTAACTACTATGTGTAAATGTGAAAAATGGATTAAAGAAGAGTAAGAGCAAAGTGCAAAAAATATGCATACAGCTGCAAGGGTCATGGTTGTTAGTTTATCAGCATTGTGGCCAGGATTAGGTGCTGAGCATCTGAACACATGTTGGTACCATATCTGTAGATGAATGAGCCCACTGAAATTGACAGCCAGGACATACACTGCTGGAATAAGTGATCAGATGTAAATTCCAGTGCCCATTGGTCTCTGTTCTGCTGTAATACATATGATAAATCGGGAAGTCTTTGAATTCATCTCTGGGTTCTACAAGTGATGCTACTGAAACCAAGTAACTGTCAGACTATGAAAGCCCACAAAGAAAAGCTAAACATAAGGCACTCCTGGGACAGGTCTCAAAATTCATAAACTGGACCTCCAACAGGCCCATTACTTAGGAAAACAACACAAACTGTCGTTTGCAGGACTGTCTCTAGGCCAGTGTTAGAACCTGGATGGCACCCAAAGAAAGGAAAAGTGATGCTTCTATATTAGATTTCCTCTCAATGTAACTTACTGTGCTTCAAGAAACCATAAGTAAACCTGGTCTAATTTTAAAACTGACTTTCTCCTTGATGTGGGGTTTACAAAGGTTAACATTTTTAATGAACACTACAAATCTCTAGTTTCAGACTCACAGCCCTCTCTTGATACGTTACAACAGTGGAAGCTCCCAGTGAGTTCTACATATTTGGGTCGCCACATCAGTTAATCTGATAACTAGACTTCTCTTGCCGGCATAAGCCTTGTGACTTACACCTGACCCTTAGAAAAAAATTTCACTCTTGGGTATTAAATCAATAGGGTCATGCAGAATGAAGTACTAGGTTTAGGTTTAGGAATAATAGTAGCTAACAGTTAAGGAAATAATCTAGAATTGAAGGGAATAGTGCTGAAAAGTCAAGGAAATAATCTAGAATTGAAGGAAGCAAAATTAGAAAATTTTAGACTTCTGAGCTGAAGACCTAATGAACCAATCTCTGGGACTAGGGAAGAGAATCATAATTGATAGAAAACATAAAGTAAAACATCACCCTTTAATTTCTTCTTTATTTACAGTCTGTTTCCCTTATTTGGTAAAATGACCTTCAGGTGAAAAGTAGGAAGTCTATGAATTTGAGCATGAATAAAAACTTGAGAAATTGGATGCTCTTAAAATTACCACATGGAAAGACAGGATTACCTGGACGTTGAAATTCTGCCACAGTGGGTTAGAAATTACTCTAATTTAAGTCCCAATTTTTCAACAATGATGTAAAATTGGTAAAAGAAAAATCACTGCTAGAGTTGCCCATGCAATACACTGTACTCAAAAAACACCCTGTGCATGAGAGAAGTCTTGATTTGGATACAAGGTCAATGTTGCACTTCTCTCATTTTCACCATTATACAAAATATACTGTTGACTCTGTCAAACATTATAAAGAGATCACTACAAAATTCTAACTAAGCTAAGAAATGGTTCATCCATTTTCAAAGGTAACCATACTTACGTAATGGGACATTTACAATGGGAAGTTTCCCACATGGATGATGCCACTAGTGTAGGAAGGTGAACACAAATATTTCACATGATGAAATAATGAACATATTCTTTCCTAATACTTATCCATTAATCACAGAAATTTGCAGGAAAGCAAAACAGGCCTCCTTGAAAACATCAAAAATATATTTCTCACCACAAAATTCTCTATTTTATACTTTCTGAAGTGACTTAAATAATTGGTTTCTCCATCTCATTTTTTACAAGATTCTTTATGAAATACCAAAAACATAATAGAAGCATACCACCTCCACACTTCATCAGAGCAAATTAAAATATTACCAGTTGTACCTGGGTTACATAGCACTTAAGATGTAGATACACTTGATGCATGGGGGAATCTCACTAAATGAGATAAGTTTGTTGCACAGCATTACTGCCATTTAGTTTGGGTGCAGAGTAATCCAGTTTGCACACCTCCTTTCTTTTGCTCACTATTTATCATGAATTACTGCAGCTATTCTATGGCTACTGCTTTTGCATACTTATCAACAAGGTTTATTTTATAAACTGTTTTTCAGGCTCTGAGGATGTCAAGGACTTTATATAATGTTGGCTTTTATAAGCTGACAAATCATAAGGAAACGAGCTATTTACTTAGCAACAACATATTAGCTACCATTTTTATAGTCTCATTAAAATAGAAAAATCAGTGACATATGGTGTGTCTTGACAGACATTGGAGGCACTACAAGGCAAGGCATGTGCATTTCATGTTCCCAATTACATTATCATAAGCAATTCCAAAATATAAAACACATCACGTGACACAGGAAAATAAGCCATACCAATGAGAAATTTTTTCCTTAGATGTTTCAATGATTCAATTTATTCACATATTTTTAAATTTTCATACTTCAGAGTGAACATCAGCCATGGAGAACTGGGTATTTTTGGTATACCCAGGTCTATAAAAAGTGTGTGGTTTCTCTTTACAGCAATGTTTCTATAGGGACACATTATTTCCGATGTCTTTGTTAGGTTTACCCACAATATGAATTCTCCAAAATATAATATAGTTGGACAACTTGCTGACAATTGTTCTGTATTTAGTATTTTCATAGGATTTCATTCCTGAAGATATTTTCCTATGTACAAACAAGCTTTCATTTCTTGAAAATATTCTCACTTGCTGCATTCACGGGTTTTCCTCCACTCACTGGACTAGCATTTATCCCAGTGGGAGTACTTCCATCAGCTAATAGGACTTGACCTCTGGAAGGCTTTCTGATATCCACAGTATTCCTCTTTGCTGTTTTCTACTGTATGAAGTTTGATAGGTTTCTGAAACCCCCTGTACTTCATAGGCTCATTCTTCCCTAAGAATGCTGATGTGTAAACATGTTAATCTGCTGAAAGTTTTCCCTACATAACCTCATTCAGAATTTCCATGAGTATTCAGACATATGTGATTTAAGTACCTAACGTTTACTGGGAGTGCATTTCCTGAAGTACAGTGACGTAAGACCTCTGTGAAAGACTAATATTTACTCCATTCCTAGGATTTCTTTACTGTATGAGTTCTCTGGTGATTAATGAGCTGTGACCTTTGGGAGAAGGCCTTCCCACATTCACTGCACTGATAAGGTTTCTCTCCAGTATGAATTCGCTGGTGATTAACAAGCTGTGACTTCTGAGAGAAAGCCTTCCTACATTCACTGCATCCATAGGGCCTCTCTCCTGTGTGTGTCCTCTGGTGTGGTATGAGGTGTGACTTCCGGGAGAACGCTTTGCCACATTCACTGCATTCAAAGGGCTTCTCTCCTGTGTGTATCCTCTGATGATTGATGAGACTTGACTTCTCTCTGAAGGCTTTTCTACATTCATTGCATTCATAAGGTTTTTCTCCTGTATGAGTTCTCTGGTGTCTAATTAGCTCTGATTTCTCAAAGAAAGCTTTCCTACAAAGACTGCATTCATACGGTTTCTCACCTGTATGAATTCTCTGGTGAGTGTTGAGCTGTGACTTCTGGGAGAAGGCTTTTTCACAATCCCTGCATTCATAGGGTTTTTCTCCTGTATGAGTTCTCTGATGCGTTGCAAGACTTGACTTCTCACCAAAGGCCTTCCCACATTCATTGCATTCAAAGGGTTTCTCTCCTGTATGTGTCCTCTGATGTGATATAAGATGTGACTTCTGACAAAAAGCTTTCCCACATTCACTGCACACATAGGGTTTCTCTCCTGTATGAATCCTCTGGTGATTAGTGAGGCTTAACTTTTCACTGAAGGCTTTCCCGCAGTCCCTGCATTCATACGGTTTTTCTCCCGTGTGAGTCCTCTGGTGTCTAACAAGCTGGGATTTCCTGCTGAAGGCTTTCCTGCATTTACTGCACACAAAGGGTTTCTCTCCTGTGTGTGTCATCTGATGTGATATGAGATGTGACTTCTGGGAAAAGGCCTTCCCACACTGAATGCATCCATGAGGTTTCTCTCCTGTATGGGTTCTCTGATGGTTCACGAGACTTGACCTCTCTCTGAAGGCTTTTTGACATTCGCTGCACTCATAGGGTCTCTCTCCTGTATGAATCGTCTGATGTCTAACAAGCTCTGATTTCTCAAAGAAGGCTTTTCTACAGTTACTACACCCATAGGGTTTGGTTCCTGTGTGAGTCCTATGATGGGTAACAAGTTGAGACTTCCTGCTGAAGGCCTTCCCACATTCTCTGCATCCAAAAGGTTTCTCTCCTGTGTGAATCCTCTGATGGTTGATGAGATTTGACTTTTCACTGAAGGCCCTCCCACACTCACTGCATCCATAGGGTTTTTCTCCTGTGTGTGTCCTCCAATGTGATATAAGGTGTGACTTCCGGGAGAAGGCCTTCCCACATTCACCACACTCATACGGTTTCTCTCCCGTGTGTGTCCTCTGATGGGATGTAAGCTGTGACTTTTGGGAGAAGGCCTTCCCACACTGGCTACAATTATACGGTTTCTCACCTGTGTGAATTCTGTGATGCGTGATAAACTGTGCCTTCTGCGGAAAGGTTCCGCCACACTTACCACAGCCAAAGGCTGTTTCTCTCCAGTGTTTGCTCTGATGTTTCATGAGACTTGACTTCTTATTGAAGCGTTTCCTACACTCACTGCATTCATAGAGTTTCTCCCCTGATCGAGTTCTGTGATAAATTATGATCTGTGACTTCTTAGAGCTAACTTTATCATACTTATCACATTCGTAGTACCTTAACCAAGTATCGGTTTCCTCAGGCTTGGTATGGAGAAACAATTCATCAAATACATTTAAGTCATCTGGTTCCATTCTTCCATAATCTGCTTTTGGAATAAGTAAATCTAAATGATGGTTAAAAAGTAATCCATTTATGGCACATTCATTGTTTGATTTCCTTAAAGGAACAAAGTTCATGCTCACATTGAAATGTTTTCCAAATGCATCATAGTCATGATTTTGTTTCATATTTTTAAGCTTCTCTTGGTTATCCTGTGGCCAAATCATGTGACCATTTACTTGCAAGACTTGTTCTATAAAAAAAGAAAACCCTGTAAATTCTTCTATGGTTGCACTTACTGAACGAAAATTAAAAAAAAAAAAAAGAAATGCTATTTGAGGTGGTAAATACTTTTTAAGGTCTAGTTTCCTCATGTGAAATAAGTCTCAATACTCTAGGTATTGAAAAATAAAGTACTGTAAAAAGTAGTAAGAAACATTAGATTGTTACCTTTGCTCATTCTCAAATTTAAATTTCTAAAATAGGGAGAGCATGTGAAAAATACACGAAGAGCATCAAGAATCAAAGAGTATGCTGGAAGCAGTTCTGACAAGTTAATTTATTCAATACTTAATTTATTCAAGCACACTCTTCTCCTGGAAGTAAGGCAGGCCCTGCAGACAGGAGAGAACATGCCTCCACCATTATGAAACTTACATTCTAATGGAAAAGATGAAAAACAGATGATATTAAAAACACAGTACAACTGTATACAGTGGTGAGCACTATGAAGGAAACAGGCTTGATAAAGTAATTTCGATCTTGAATGAGAAATATTGTATGCTTTCCCATTCTCAAGTTTTTAAAACTTACCATACACATTTTGATATTATCACCAACAAAGCCACTCTGAACAATGCATTACAAGACATATTCCACCTTTCATCTAAACTGTTCACATACAAAATTTCCATGTGTTCCTCCTTGAAACTATCCCGACACAAGTTCCTGTTCTTAAAATATTTTGAAAGTTTGATTCCCATTTACTTTTTAGCTCTATTTCCAGTATCCTCACAACATACCACTTACACTAGCGTTGTAAGTGTTCTTCAAAGCCTTATTTTTCATCAACAATCTACACTTGGGATTTTTTTTCTGAGGTCACATCCACAGGTATGAAAGACAGTAATGTGAAAAATCTCTTAAGGACTTAAATGTCAACCAAGGGCAATAAATTTGTGAGAAACCCACAACTCATTGTTGGCCATATATATTTTTTGGAGATAGAATTACCAAGATTTGCTGATGGATTTGTTGTGGATGGAATAAGGGAAGGCAAGAAATCAAGAATGATTCCTAGGTTTGGGATCTGAGCAGTTCAGTGGCTTATGGTGAATTGGAAAGACTGAAGGAGAGATCTGGAGGTTAAAAATTAAGAGTCTATTACAGATACATTAATTTTGAAATATGAGTGAACAGAGTGATATCAGGAAATGTGAGAGTATAAAATAGGGGCATCTAATGGATCAAAGACCTGAATGTAAGTCATGAAACCATAAAACTCTTAGAAGAAAACATAGGCAAAATTCTCTTGAATATAAACATGAGCAACTTCTTCATGAACATATCTCCCCAGGCAAGGGAAACAAAAGCAAAAATGAACAAGTGGGACTATATCAAACTAAAAAGCTTCTGTACAGCAAAGGACACCATCAGTAGAACAAAAAGACATCCTACAGTATGGGAGAATATATTCCTAAATGACATATCCGATAAGGGGTTGACATCCAAAATATACAAAGAGCTCACACACCTCAACAAACAAAAAGCAAATAATCCAATTAAAAAATGGGCAGAGGAGCTGAACAGACACTTCACCAAAGAAGAAATTCAGATGGCCAACAGACACGTGAAAATATGCTCCACATCACCAATCATTAGAGAAATGCAAATTAAAACCACAATGAGATAATACCTCACACCAGTTAGGATGGCCAACATCCAAAAGACAAACAAAAATAAATGTTGTTGAGGATGTGGAGAAAGGGGAACCCTCCTACACTGCTGGTGGGAATGTAAATTAGTTCAACCATTGTGGAAAGCAGTATGGAGGTTCCTCAAAAAACTCAAAATAGAAATATCATTTGACCCAGGAATTCCACTCCTAGGAATTTACCCTAAGAATGCAGGAGCCCAGTTTGAAAAAGATATATGTTTATCACAGCACTATTTACAATAGCCAAGAAATGAAAGCAACCTAAGTCTCCATCAGTAGATGAATGGATAAAGAAGATGTGGTACATATACACAATGGAATATTATTCAGCCATAAGAAGAAAACAAATCCTACCATTTGCAACAACATGGATGGAGCAGAGGGTAGTATGCTCAGTGAAATAAGCCAGGCGGAGAAAGACAAGTATCAAATGACTTCCCTCATCTTTGGAGTATAAGAACAATGAAAAAACTGAAGGAACAAAACAGCAGCAGACTCACAGAACCCAAGAATGGACTAACAGTTACCAAAGGAAAAGGGACTGGGGAGGATGGGTGGGAAGGGAGGGATAGGAGGGAAAGGGGCATTACGATTAGCACACATAATGTAGCGGTGGGGGTGGCTACGGGGAAGGCAGTATAGCACAAAGAAGACAAGTAGTGATTCTATAGCATCTTACTACACTGATGGACAGTGACTGTAATGGGGTATGTGGTGGGGACTTGATAATGGGGGAATCTAGTAACCACAATATTGCTCATGTAATTGTATATTAATGATAAAAAAATAGGACTATCTATACATTAGATACATTTCTTTTAAGCGTTACATTATTGAGCTAAGTACACACTTACAATTTTAAACTTATCCCAAATTTTTGTTCAATTTTTTTCCCATTGGAAAAATGGGATTGCTTGATATTTGGTCATTTACAATATGTCCCAAAGGTTTCCCTTCTTCCAATATACTTTTCTATTTGGTGGTCAGACTGAATTTTAGAATTATTAAATCGGGTAATTTAAAGATGTCTGAACTAATCTGAACTCCTTCCTATTGCTTGCAAGTTGATGTACGATCTTATTTCCTTCACTCTCTCCAACTTCCATCTTCCTCCAGACACAAGGCTTCCATTCTGTTTTAGTCACTAAGCTCCTAATGGCCTGCTCATTTCAGTCCTAATGACTAGAATTGGCTTCTCCATGTTACTCTGTTAAGAACTGAACATCTGCATCCCTGCAAATCTCATTTGTTGAAGCCCTGACCCCTAGTGTGGAGATGAGATCTTCAAAGGAAGTAATTAAGGTTAAATGAGGGCACAAAGGAGGGGTTCTGATCTGACAAGATTAATGTCCTTTAAAGATGTTCTGCCCACTCTGCCCACATGCAAACATGAGGAAAAGCCACGCAATGACAAAGCTACAAGGCTACAAGGTGGTTGTTTATAAGCCAGGAAGACATCCTCCATCAGATCCTGATCCTGACAGCACCTTGATCCTGGACTTCCAGCCTCCAGACTGAGAATAACTTCCTGTTTAAACCACCCAGTCTATGGTATCGTTACATCAGCCCAAGCTGGCTGACACACCCTCTACCATATCGTTACCTGATTTATTCCTATTAGCACTACTTTCAGGGTCTGAACTTTGTCTTAGTTATATGCCAACTTGTTCACTTTTATTCTCCCACTGGAAAGCAGGCATTCTTGTAGGCAGGGAATAACTCTATGTTCATAATTGCACCCATAGCAACCAGCACAACTCCTGAAAATAAAAGAAGTCTGTTTCCAGCTTTCTATGATCTGCTAATGCAGTCTGTACAGAAAAGTTACTAACAGGCCTCCTTGCAAGGTGGCCCTTGGCTGGCATTGGGGAACCTGAGTTTGGGGAGTGTTCCCACCATTCCCTGATAAAAGTGGTTCCCAATGCCTAGACTGTGTACAAACAATATGGTTTATGCTGAACACGTTTTCCTTCTGAGAGTCTGAAATGCTCCTGCATGTGCCAGACAGAAGTGTCTATGTGACCAGCCTCACCAAACCCCCTCAAAAAAAAACCCTGGGCAATAAGTCTCTAATACAGTTCCCCGGGCAGAAACATCATACACATTACTGCATTTTCACTGCTGCAGAAGGGTGAGCTCTGTATCCCTCATGGAGGGCAAGAGCACTGGAAGCCTGCACACAGATTGCTTCAGATTTTGCTAGTAGCTTTTCCCTTGTGAAGCAGCTATGTGTCCTTATTATATCATGGTAATAAAGCTTAGCCCATACAACTACATTCTGACCCCTTCTCTGAATGTGGTGGTAGTCTTGGGGACCCTGACACAGTCCTCGTTTATGTTAATTTTGACAACTAACATTGCACTGCATTACAACAAAAGATAAACACTCAACATTTAAATGCTATTAAAAAAAGATTCAAATGTCTCATCTTCTTAACTAAGTTCTATGCTTCTAAAAGGTATTTTCTGTGTCTCTCTTTAATCACTGTTATTAGTCATTAAAGTGATGGGTCTCAACTAATAAGTACATAAAAGTCACAAAATGTTTCTCAAATTATAAATTCTAGTACTAGATTATGATAGTTTAAAACTACATATACATCACTCCACTGAATCAGTTTCTAGTAAAGGATACATGATGCTCATCATTGGGGAAAAAAATCCCCAAGTAATCTGATGTAGACCTGGTTAAAAACACCTGTATTAAAACAATGGGTTTGTGGAGAGAGATTATGTGTCTCATAAATGAACATAAATTATAAGCCCTTATGTCTATGTATGCAAACAACACTCAGGGACAAACTAACCAAGAAATATTATGGACTCCGTGATCAGGTCTGGGATGGGATGTTAGAAAAAAGTGAGAAAATTTAGTCTGGAGCAGTCAAGGAACATGCAATATGAAAACAGAGTTCATGCAAAAAGGACCAAGAGTTTCCTAAGAAAGCATAGCACAATCAAAAGTTCACATGCAGGGAAGAATAAATATTATATGTCCGAAAACACTGAGAAATGTTTAAAGGGAACTGACCACGAATTTGGAAGAAAAAAGGGAAATAGCTGAACAGGCTACAGAGCTCATACGATGGAGGTCAATGAGGAGTAAACCCTGTAGCAGATCCTTGTTGCCACACCTACTCCCCTCAGCCACAGTCAGAGAACATGTGCAGTGTGACTGACACCCACCCTAGCCACTCGCATCTCCCCACCAGAGCCCTTTCAAGTACATGCTTGGTCTGAGGGCAGATGCTAGACATTGTGGAGAGCTGGTGCTCCCTGGAGCAGTGCTTAACCACTGAGCCTGGAGTTGGACAGCAGTGCCAGCTTCCTGGCTCCTCAGGGCTCCCAGCAGCGCCCCACATCCACACAACCTTCATGTGGTACTCCCTACCTCACTTCTTCCCACTACAGTGTGGGTATCAGAGCCCTGGCTAAGTCTTACACTCAGAAACATACCACAGAGTCCACTTTCTGAGGGAACCTGAAGCAAGCCGAAGTCATGCAGCAGATAATGAGGAACAGGGAGGCTTACCTGATCAGTGTCAGAGCTTTAGAAACTCCAATATGGTTGTATCATTTATAGTAATTTGGGAGATTAGAATCTGGATTAAGCTAGCAATTTGGGAAATTCAGGAATGAAACATCATGGGCCTACTTTTTACTGAGAGTTGAGGAGATAAGACTTTTAAAAAGTACTTTCCAAAGGGCAAAATACTTGAATAAAAAGAATGGTAGAAAGAGATGACTCAAAGTACTGTGGTATCTAATCTACAGAAAAAGCACAGCAGAACCTAATTTTAAAAGGGACAAAAAGGAAAAATTGTTGGGAGGAATGATGATTCCATTTTCTGATAAAATGAGACTGAACAGAATGGTTTTCACAGGGCACTTCTCTGGCCATCAGAAACACTCAGAACAAGGGAAATATAAGAATTCCTCAATGTACACACAGGGGTGTCTTTGACCACAGGGGAACGAAGGACAGGAGATTCAACATGTCAGGGGACAGAATACCAAACAAGAAGCCAAAGTCCCAGATGTGACAGATGGGGAGTAACAGCACACATGGCTCAGGCAAGATGGGAACATTCTGCTTTAAGCTATAAGCAAAGAAGCCACATCTGAATGACTCACTTGTGTAGCTCACATTAATTCTGAATCACCACTAATGGTTTAGAGACTTTGACGAGAGCTCTCTAAAGCACATTTCAAAGATGTCAATCCACTAACCAGCTGAGGCTGAACTTGGACCTGCTCCCATCATCCTGGTTCTCACTCACCTGGAGAGTCTGAACTTGGAGTATCTCCATCTCCTCTCCACGGCTCTTCTCCTTGCTCCAACTTGAAGATGACATCAGGTTTCCTAAGTTCATACCCTGTTAGGGGAAATCACAAAGGCCTTGGCTCCAATTCCTTGGACTTTAGAGCCTCTTAAGAACAGCAAGGTTTGGCATCATAGTTAACCAGTGAAGCTACCCATTTGTGTATGAACAAAGTAATTCTCACAGTCAAGGCAATGATCTTCCTGGAAGTTAATAGGGTCTAAGAGTCTTGACTTCTATTATTCAAATCCAAAGCCATTGAACAGGCACTGGAGCCAGTCTGCCTAGGTTCAAATCCAGGCTCATTCAGTAGCATCAGTCCTTGGGAAAGTTACTTAATCTCTCTTTGCCTCAATCTCCTTATTAGAAAACAAAGGAGAGAATTCATTACCTGCCACATAGGATTACTCTTATGATTACAAGTCAATATATGAACACTATGTGGAACATTCTAAGTTCTATGCATACAGATGCCACCACTGCCACTATCACTATTAGCTTCAGAGTCTGCACAACAAAATGAAGACTTCATTACTGGAAGGTGAGATTCAAATACTTTCCCTGGTATCGCAATCCAAAGAACTTTGGTCTTTTAGATTCAGGTTCAAAATCATTAAAAATTTCAGAAGACCTACAGCACTCAGCAACTAGAAGGGAAAAAGCAAGGCATTGGGCACAATTTTCCTCTGGGACCTTTTCTTACCCAGTGACACTAAGCTGCTGTAGTTCTCCAACATGACATCCTTGTACAGGTCCTTCTGAGAGTGGTCCAGTAACTGCCACTCCGTCTGGGTGAAGTCCACAGATAAATCTTCAAATGAGAAGGACCCCTATAAGAGCACAGTGAGTCTGAACCTGAGCAGCTGTCAATCTAGTGAATATGAAGCAGCTATTGCCATGCGACGTGGTGCATGAGCATGGACATATTATCCTCATCGTAGGGGTTACAGAGATTAGCTAGCATTATAGTTAATGGTAAAATAATGAATACTTTCTCCCTGAAGGCCAGAGTATCATTGTTCAATAGAACTTTTTGTGACGATCAAAATGTTTTAGATCTATACCATCCAATACAGCAGCCACTAGCCACAGATTTCTACTGAACACTTCAAAGGTGATTAGGAACTGACTTTTCTATTTAATTTTAACTTATTTGAATTTAACTATCACATGTAGCTGCACAGTAAAGAATTTGTTTGGTCTTTGTCCCAAGTTCCTGGAAAGGAGCTTTTAAAGCCTTGGAATTTCCCCAGTGAGGAGTGTTTTTCTTATGGTGGGCCTCTCCTGAATTAATGCAAACAAGGTGACTCATGATGGGCTCTGAGAAAATGTCCATAGGCACCATCTGGGAAAACCAACCATTTGATTAGAGGTTTGGAACTTTGAGGCAGATATCCCCTCCAGGTAGAGGAGGCTGGAGACTGCTGAATCATATGGCCAATGATTCAATCAATCATACCTACATAATGAATACCCAATAAAAACTGGACATTGGAGCCTCAGGTTAGCTTCTTGGTTGGGAAACAGATATGTGCAAGGAGGGTGGTGTGTCCTGATTCCATGGGGAGAGGGTGCAGAAGCTCCCTGTTGGGGATACTTCCAGACTTCTTCGCCCTGTGTGTCTCATTTGGCTGGCCCCAATTTATGTCCTTCACAATAAAACTGTAATTGTAAGTATAGCACTTTCCTAAGCTCTGTGAGTACTCCCAGCAAATCTGAGGGTGTCAAGGGAATCCCCCAAATTTGTAGCCAGCTTGTCAGAAGTGCAGATAGCCTGGGGACCCCCAAATTTACAGCTAGCACCTGAAGTGAGGAGAATCTTGTTGAGGACTGTGCTCTTAACATATGGCTCCTGTGTTAACTCCCTAAGGTTAGTGTCAGAGCTGTAATGCACCACACAGGAGACAGTGCCAATCTAAAGCAAGGCAAGGATGTTCCCTAACACCACTTTTAGTCCACAGTGTATTGGAAGTCCTGGCCAGTACAATAAAATAGAAGGAAAAAGTATAAATAGTAAAAGGAAGATGTAAAACTGTCATAGATGCTATGAATGAATACAAATAAAATCCAAAAGATCCTACAAACAATTAGAATTAGTTAATTGTGGATAGTCTTGATATTCCACCAAAACTAATCAACTAGTGTTCTCTTAAAGATGAGGTGCAATGCAGAATCTTAAACGTTATCACTGAACTCACACTGTTACATTTTTAAAACCTATTGTTTATCTTGGTCTTTGAATGGATCATTTACAAATTAATTATTTTATACCACCATGCATTGGTTATGTAGAAAGTACTGGTTCCCTGAGTTAAAATTTTCTCACCAAAAAAAAAAAAAAAAAAAAAAAAGGCTTTATCGGTTAATTCTGTAAACACTTAATACAGAAATAATTCCAATTTCACTGAACTCTTATAGAATATGGAAATACACAACCCTTAACTTTTTAATACCATTATAACCTTGATAACAAAACGCAGTAAGGATACACTTGGAAAGGAAAAGCAAAGGCCAACTCACAATGAACACTGACATGAAAATCCTCAACATTATGTTACTAAACTATCTGAGCAGTATAAAGAAGAAAATATATCAAGAATAAGTTGGAGCTTACCCCAGAAATTCAAGGTTGGTAACATTTTTTTTAAAAAACTCAGTGACATTCACTACCCTAACAGACTAAGAAAAAATATCTAATCACCTTAACATATGCAGATATAAAGCATATTTGCAAATGAAAGAATATACATTGCAAGAACTGCAAATAACAAAAAAATCTAACGGTTTTTAAAAAAACATTTTAAATTTTCAAAAAGAAGGACTAGGTTCATAAGAAATTTAAGTATAAAAAAGAACAGAAGATGAAAAACATAACAAAACTGACACACCAAATATTGAAAAATAATCAACATGTTATAAAAAGTCCTGACCATGTACAATTTCAGTGGAATTCCTTTTTACAAAAAAAAAATATTACTGATATATTTGTGAACATAGAAATCTAATTAAATCTAAAGAAAATTATTAGAATAAAATGTCTTAAGAAGTTCCTGGATACAAAGTCAATATGAAAAATCTAGTATATATCCATATTTTGAGAACAAAAATTTTTTAAATTAATAAATAAACTTTAAGATACCACTGAATGCAGAAATAGCTACTTGCAGGTCTGGGACAAAAATCTACAAAATGAGGCTTGCTGTATCTTGTCATGCTAGAAAGCAGTATTTCAGTTAATACAAAGAAAGGATAAAAGTAGGACATTATCCCCCTATACAGAATTTTATTGTTGTTAACAACCCTTTGATCAATAAATATGAGAGATGCCCTCTCAAAAAAAAAAAGAAAAAGAGAACATTATCATTGTACAACCTCTAATGAAATAATCCATCTAGGCAATGATCACATAAAGCTGCCAGCATGACAAAGAGACAAATGTTACTTACTTCCTGAAAAAAAGTACATACTACAACCTCTAAAACATTCTCACCAAGAAGTCAAACTTGAATCTGATCAAGTCTCTAGGTCAGATCTGTCCAGCAGAACTTTCTGTCCAGCAGAGCTATCCAATTGGCAGCTACTGAGCACTTGAAATGTGGCTAGTGTGACTAATTTAATTCATTTAAATTATAACAATCTTATGTAGCCAGTGGCTTCTATATTGAACAGCACAGCTCTAAAACTACCAATTTATAGGAAACATAGGCGACAGAACACCTTACCACTGTGGGGATGCAATTAGCAAAATCAAGACAGTGGGAATCCACAGAATAAATGACCTGTTCTTCAACAAATAATATGGCTAGAAAAAACAGCCAATAGATTAAAAGAGAGTTAGGAAAAAGATCAACTGATTGCACTGCATGAACTTTAATTCTGATTCAAATAAAGAGCCAACAACTTATGGATTTTATGAGACAACTGGAAATTAGAACACTGACTAGATTTGATGATACGACGAAGCTACCTCAACAGAGATTTCAACAATGAATATCATGAACAAAATGTTAGGTGAAAGAAGCAAAATACAAATAAGCATATATTATAGCAGATGACAGACAAAACAAACTTCAGTGTAAGGACGGATACTTACAAGAAAAACTATTTAAAAAAGCAAAGAAATGGTACAAAAGTCAGGGTCTTGACTCCCTTTGTCAGGAGGGCAAAGTCGTGATTAGAAGAGGGCACCTGAAGAGGCTTGTTTGGGCTTGGAATGTTCTATTCCCTGACTAGAACGGTAGTTTCACGGATTCAGTTGATAATAATTCACAAAACTGCACTCTTAACATTTGATGTACTTTTCTGAATGTGAATTCGACTTCACAATTAATGAGGTAAAACAATAAATGAAAAGAACTACGGTCATTAGGTTCTGCTTTCGAATTTTCCCCTTGGTTCACACTCTGGAAAACTATGTAAAATGGCCATAGACTCATGTATTTATACATTTCTCTGGAGGACACTACCTGCTGTATAATTTATTCGAAGATTTCATCAAGGAATGACTAAGAAATATTTACTTTCAATGAAGATCAGTTTGCTTTTCCTTTGAATAATGCAACTCATATAAAGGTTCATATTTTGTTACAACTGTCAAAAATTTGAGAACCAAGTTTGCAGCTCAAATTCAGTAATTATGTAGAGCACTATAGCTTACAAAAACTTAAACATTAAAAACTTCACAAAGCCCTATAGTTAATAAATCACTGCTCCAATTTTGTTCCAATCCAGATCTTCTATTCTGAGGCTATTTCCTCTGATTTCTTAACTGTTTAAACTTTTATTTTTCACTGGAAGACACACACACCTCTTCTAATCCCCTAGAAAAATAATGAGGAATAAACAGTCAACTCACCTGTAACATGGTCATTTTCTGATGCCTGTGCAGTATGATTTGCAAGTCTGAGATCTGTTCTATCCTGCGTCTGTTCTGCTTCTGTCCCGAAGCTCTGGTGTCAGGTCTCAGCTAGATCTTTTCCACTGAGAATGAATTCCTGTTTAGAACAGAAGTTGACACACAATCAGCACTAAACAAACACTAGCCATAACTATTACAAAAGTAAAATATGATGGCAAAATTTAGAAATGTATATAATTATTTTCCTATGCTATCACCACATCACAGACAACCATTCAAAAGAGATGGTGGAAACTATTTGGCTATTTTTAACAAGAGTCCAAGTATGTGGTTACATTTAAAAACTGTTTTTGTTTTTTTCCCCACTATACAAAGACAGGTCAACAAATATTCTACAATATCAACAGTTTTACTATATAAAAAATTAAAGAAAAACAACTGCTAATAGAATAAATACATAATATATGTAGGAATATACTTGACAATAAATATCTAAAAGCCATATGATACAAATTAAAAACACCAATGTGGACTATAAATATACACCTCATACAATTTGGTCTTGTTCTGGGATAGGAAGATTTCATACAGTAATGATAATTTAGTTCCAAATGACATAACTTTAGTCAACTCCAATCACAACTTCAAAAAGGTTTTCTGGAAGGAAAAAGGTTTAGTAACATCTTGGACACTTTTGGAAATACAAAATGGGTGTAAAAAGATCTGTGTAATATTAACATGTATTATAAAATTATAATAATCAAAACAAGCATTTGACACTGTCTCAAAAAGACACACAGATGACTAAAGCTCGAGTATGGGAGAACTAAGCCCACAATACTGTGGCTTCAAAGCATGAGCAAAACCAGACTACCCAATGATTAACATTTGAAAGAAGAAAGCTAGTTATCCATCTCCTACATTACAACAAACTAGTTCCAGATGGATTAGAGTTTAAAATAATGGATACCAGGGTAATGCTTGAATCAAACATGGGTGAATATTTGTATAACTTGGAGGAAATTCTCCCTACGTATGATACAAAGGCAAAAGCCGTAATTTTTTTTAAGTGAATAAATCTAACCCCAAACAAGGTAAAAAAGATAACCTCTGTGGGGTTAAAAAAAAAAAAAAAGCAATCATCACACACACACAGGAAAATTTACCCCAAAATGATCTCATTTCCTTTCCATTATGCTTTCATTTCATTTCATGCCACATAATAAAAATTCTGGCATTGTGACAAATAAAACAACATTTATCATTCAAACCATTTCTTTAGCAGGTAGCCAAAACTGCAATGTGACTTTAAAATTTCCTTTGTAATTCTGTCAATGACTACAACATTACTGAGGTTTAGTTGGGTTTCAGTGAGAACTTATTACAAGTAGGGATTTATGTCTCAATAAGGTAGATTTACTGAAGAGAATACACAGAGATAAGAATTTTAGGTGCACAGCCATCAGTGTGGTAGTTAAAGATGTTTCTGATGATATTTAAATTTGTTACAGACTCGACCTTATTATAAACTAATGTCTTTTAAAGTTGGCCCTTGAGGTAGATGTCACCTCCTGAATTTTTTAACATGTCCCCTCATGGGCAATGGAGAAATGGAAGCCTAATTGTTCCCTGAACGATGTGGCCCATTTTAATTTCACTGACATGTTTGGTTTTCAGGTTTGTTTTTTTTTTTTCACCTTAGTAGTTTCCTTTTACAGGGCAGCTCTCCTTGTGACAGCTCTCACGTTTATCCTCAGAAGCAAGCGGCAACTTTCATCATTATCCCGTGGCTCCACTCAGTTTCAAGTTCTGAAGGAATTTCAGGGAAAAGGTGGAGAATAATAAAATTAACATTTATTTACAGTTGCTATGTGCCTCATTTTATACACCATACCATTGTTTTTTAATGCACTGAGTACTCATTACATAAGTGATAAGGCACAGAGTTTCAGCAACTTGCCTAACAGTGATGACATACTCATGAAGTGACAGATCTGAGCCACTGGTCCCATGCCGTCCACCCCAGAGCCTGTGACTATAGCCCCTTGGCAACAGTCGAGAGAGGAGTGGTAAAAGGCACCCCAAATATTCCCAGTACAGGCACATACAGTCCCCTGTACAGAAATAATGGCACCAGAGGAAAAATTAAAAACAAGAGAAAGATGAATTCTGAAAGGCCAGTTGAAAAAACTCCCCAGGTAAGTTTAAACTCCACACTTGGGACAAAATATTTCAAGTTAAGCAAAGACACTGGTTATATATTATAACAGCTTTAAGCAGCATATGCGGCATATTTCCAACTTTGTTTCTTAAAAGAAATACAAATAAGACGTACTAAAAACACACATACATTTATTGACCAAAAAAAGTACCAAAATGTTAGCAGTAAATCTGCTGATGGGATCATGATTTTCATTTGAATCTGTTTACCAAGATGCCCCAAACTGACCTACAGTGAATATATTTTTGATTCATAAGAGAAAAAAGTACAAATACTATCTTTTTAAAGTCTTAAAATCCTTAACCCAAGAAAACAGGCAAGCAGAGCAGTGTCAATCCAGCACCATACGGTTGAAAACAAAGTAAACAATAATTAAAATAAGATAAAGTATGTTTTAATGACAGCAAATGACATCGAAGCTAGAAAATAAAAGCTCATTTCTTTCTACTCCCTCATTTCCAGATAAAAACATGAGACCCAGAAACAGTGAGGAGACTATCCAGAATGGCAGAGGTGGATCAAAATCAAGAGAAAAGGACTTTAGGGCAATGTTGTTCTCGTCACACCAGCTATTTAGTGTCAAAAGTTCGCTGTTGTTAGTTTTGGCTGCTTTTGTTTTCTTTTGCTTTGCTTTTTTAAGTAGAAAAGTCTTTTTAAAAAAAAGTACCGATACATGTAGAGCCAGCTGGGAAGCCAGGTTAGAGAAGGAATAGGCGGTCCTGCAGTCCAGCCACCCTCGCCCCCACACCACGCCTTGGCCAGCGCGGGCACTCACATCACACACTCCTCTCCAGCCATGGGGTCCCAGCCCTTCAGCGGGGACGGAGCTAGGCTGGCAGCCAAAGACATCCAGAGATGCAGGAGAGCTCCGCCTTCAAAACTCAAGCTGAAAGGGAACCTCAAGAGATTAGGACCCACAGCAGGCGCTGGGGAGCAGCGCCACCCTCAGGAAAAGGCTCGGCGGGCCTCCGCGGCGCACACCCCCACCGGTCGCTCCCCCACGGTCCCACCCGCTTCTTCCTCTCCTTAAACGCGAAACCAGTCTGGACCGGGAAACGGCGTCCCCAGAGAACCGGGGCCTGTGCGCCGCGCCCTGAGCCCCCAGATCGGCTGGGCCGCCCAGACCCCCACAATACTTCCCCGCTACAGCCGCCCAAATCCACACAATACTTCCCCGCTACTCCCCAACCCCGAAATCCCCGCTTCCGCCGACCAACGCGCGGGCGCCCGCAGGCCGCAAAGCCTGCAGCCCAGACACGGCCCCCGCTGCCCCAAGCCTAGGCCCCGAACGCCCAAAACGCCCATCCCGACCCCAGGCCAGCAACCTCAGACAACAAGTCGGAAGCCACGTGACTGGACGCCCGCAGGCCTCGGTGAGGTGCGGGCTGTTCCTCGGGATTCCGGCGTAGCTGGGGGCGCGCGCACACGGGCACGCCAACACGCGGGCGCGCGCATACTCGTCTCTAGCGTGCCGGCGGAGGACAAAGAGAGGGGGCACAACGTTAAAGCGCCAAGGCTGTACGAGAGCGCGTGCGCACGAGAGCGTTTTGGAACTACATTTCCCAGAAGGCTTTGCGCACGTCGGCGTACTGGCGACCTAGGAGGGCCGGTCTCCTACAGAATCGCGGACGCCCTCGCGCCTATCGAGGAGCCGCTTGCGTGAAAACGCGGTGTGCAGGAAAGAGTAAGATTCTAGAAAGGATTAGGTTTTAAAAGAGTATGAATTCAAATACATCGGTGTGATAAGGGCGGAAAAAAAGGTCAAGTGGCTTAAAAATTCAGTTGAAGTCGGAAAACGCTTTAATGCATTTATGGAGAGCAGATAGGAATTAACAAAAAAAGTAAAACTGATTCTCAATTCAAGTGCTGTGACGGAGAGTTATTAATAAGTAACCCATTTGCAATCACTCCCATGCCACCACCTCATCCCCAGGCCACTATGGATCAGCTGTCTCGATTTGTCTGTTCTGGACATGACATATGAGTGGAATCCTGCAATACAATACAATTCCGCAATCTCGTCTTGATTTCGTTGACTCAGCATGATGTTTCCAGGTTCATCCATGTTCCAGCACGCCTCCTGCTCCATCCATTTTCATGGCTGAATCACAGTGCATGATGTAGCCATATCACCTAGAGTCTATCCACTTATCAGCTGGTGGACATTGGAATTGTTTTCACTTTTTGGCCCTTTTGAGTAATGTTTCTGTGAACATTTGTATACCAGTTTTTGTTTGGATTTGTGTTTCCATTTCCCTTGGAGAGATTACCTAATTGTAGACTTGCTCTCCCTCATGTTTCACCTTTTGAGAAAGAGTTTTTCAAACTCTTTATCTTCCCATCAGAGGTATATTGGGTTGCAATTTTCCATAGCCTCAACAAAAGTTCTCATGATGATCATTTTTGATCCTGGGCGTCCTAATGGGTGTGAGGTGGTATTTCAGTGTGCTTTTAATTTGTATTTCTCTAGTGGTCAAAGATGTAGAACAGCTTTTCACATGCTTATTGATCATATGTCTATCCTCTTTGAAGCAATATCTACTTATACCCCTTTGCCCTTTTTGATTGGGTTGTCTTTTTGTTGTTCAATTATGAGAGTTCATTATATATTCTGGGCACTAGTAATGTCTCAGATACACGATTTCAAGAAACTTGTCTCATTGTGTAGGTCATCTACTTTCTTGTGGAGGTCCTTTGAAGTACAAAGTATTTAACTTGGTAAGCTTATCTATTTTGGTGAGTTGCTTGTGCTTTTGGTGTGACATCTGAGAAAGTGTGGCCTAACCACACATCCTGTACATCTCTTTTAATCCTTAGTTCAGATTTAAGAGGAATGAGAGATGCAAATGAGGTACATTTTCTAGGCCCCAAGTCACTTCCATTATTCAATTATGTCCTGGTTGATTTTACAAAACACAAGGCAAGTTTCAGGTCTTAATTTATATTGTAACTCTCCTAGTAAAAACTTGTACTTGTAGTAACAATTCCATTTAATGTGAAAAACACAGCACATCATCTATCTGTTCAGCTAGCAAAAGAAATGTCACAACGCTGTTCTCTTTTTCTTTCTTGGACTGCATCCCTGTGCCTTGTCTTGAACTTGTTTCCTTTGTGTTCTATGCGGTGTATAGAACACAGCACCAACCACAGGCACTGTTGGGTGTTTTGGATCAGTGATGTCTTCAGATAACTGCTACTTTTCCACTTGAGACATGATTAGGTTTTTTTATTTTTATTAAGGTATTATCGATATACACTCTTAAGAAGGTTTCACATGAAAAACAATGTGGTTACTACATTCATCCATATTATCGAGTTCACCCCCCCATGCCCCATTGCAGTTACTGTCCATCAGTGTAGTAAGATGCTATAGAGGCACTACTTGTCTTCTCTGTGCTTTACTGCCTTCCCTGTGCCCCCACCCTATGTTATGTGTGCTAATCATAATTCCCCCTTATTTCCCTTGTCCCTCCCTTCCCACCCACCCTGCCCAGTCTCTTTGGTAACTGTTATTCCATTCTTGGGTTCTGTGAGTATGCTGCCGTTTTGTTCTGTCAGTTTTTGCTTTGTTCTTATACTCCACAGATGAGGGAAATCATTTGATACTTGTCTTTCTCTGCCTGGCTTATTTCACTGAGCATAAAATCCTCCAGCTCCATCCATGTTGTTGCAAATGATAGGATTTGTTTTCTTCTTATGGCTGAATAATATTCCATTGTGTATATGTACCACATCTTCTTTATCCACTCATCTGATGGAAACTTGGGTTCCTTCCATTTCTTGGCTATTACAAATAGTGCTGCAATAAACATAGGAGTGCATATGTCTTTTTGAATTTGGGATCCTGCATTCTTTGGGTAAATTCCTAGGAGTGGAATTCCTGGGTCAAGTGGTATTTCTAGTTTTAGTTTTTTTGAGAAACCTCCATACTGCTTTCCACAATGGTTGAACTAATTTACATTCCCACCAGCAGTGTGGGAAGGTTCCCCTTTCTCCAAATCCTCACCAGTATTTGTTGTTGTTTGTCTTTTGGATGTTGGCCATCCTCACTGGTGGGAGGTGATATCTCATTGTGGTTTTAATTTGCATTTTTCTGATGATTACTGATGTGGAGCATCTTTTCATGTGCCTGTTCACCATCTGAATTTCTTCTTTGGAGAATTGTCTGTTCATATCCTTTGCATTTTTTAATCAGGTTATTTGCTTTTTGGTTGTTGAGGCGTGTGAGTTCTTTATATATTTTGGATGTTAACCCCTTGTCAGATATGCTATTTACAAATATATTCTCCCATACTGTAGGATGCCTTTTTGTTCTGCCCACTTTTTTATTTGGATTGTTTTTTTTTTGCTGTTGAATGTATGAGTTCTATATATATTTCAGACATAACCACTTATCAGATATATAATTTGCAAATATTTTCTCCTATACTGTAGGTTGCCTTTTCACTCTGTTGATTGTTTCCTTTGCTGTGCAGACATTTTTTAATTTGATGTAGGTTCCACTTGTTTGTTTTTGCTTTTGTTGCCTTTGCTTTTGGTGTCCAATCCAAAAAAGCATTGTCAAGACCAATATCAAGGAACTTATTGCCTATTTTTTCCTCTAATTTTATGGTTTCATGTCTTCCATTCAAGTCTTCAATCCATTTTGAGTTGATTTTTATATACAGTGTAAGGTAGTTGTCCAGTTTCATTCTTTTGCATGTGGCCATCCAATTTCCCCAACACCACTTATAAGAGACTGTCCTTTCCCTGTTGTTATCATGAGGATTATTAATATGTAAACTTTAATATGTAAACTAAACTTAGACTACTGCTCAGAACAAAATTGATATTCAATAAATGTGTCCAGGTTACCACTGTTTCCCTTTTTGACATATCACATTAGCAAATTAGGACATCATAGGCTATTTTATCCTACATCCTCTTAGTCTCCACAAGTTATAAACCCCAGAAATTCTTAATTGGGGTCCAGCTCTGAGATAAGGACCTAGTTTTTACTTTACAAAGATCCTATCTAAAATTAATTGGATAAGGCTGTCTTCCTCTTTGTAATACTTATCTTCCTAAATGCATATCTCATGAAAAAAAAACCTGTCAGGAAGTTATACAAGAAGAGGGAACTGGTAGAGTGGGCAGAAGAAGAATCCTCAGAGAAGGAAAGTGAGGGGCTGAGTCAGCCTCAGGGAATGTGATTTTGCCTAGAGTTTGATGGTCAACAACTATTTACTAAATCTCTTCTCTGGGCTCGGATCCAAGCTAGAGGGGTTCAGATTTATGCCTACCCATCCATGAGATGTCACAGACTGGTTTATACACAAATCTTTTCTTATTAATAACACAAACGTCTTGTGAGGGTGATAGAAATTGCTGCATTTTATATATGGGACTCAGAGAAGGGCACTGTTTGGTAATGTTACACAGCCAATAAGTAGTGGAGTCAGGCTAGAATTTTAAGTCGTCTGATTTCATGGTCTATTTTCTTTCTGGTATTAGTGATATGCTGGGGGCCAGTTAATATCTACTTATATCTCACCAGCTCTGGGTTTAATAATACCATGTTGGTAGCCTAAAATTGGACATGGTGGTGGGAGTATTTACAACACAGAAATAGGCAAACAAATTTGAGTACCAGTTGTCAAACACTTACCAGCATATCACAATTATTTTTGTTAATACAAAAATATTATAAACCATGTTTCCTGAATCCAAGGAATTTACAATGTTTTTGTAGACAATATTATATGAACCCATTTGGTGGTGATATGTGTAGGACTAACTGTAAATTCATTAACAGAGCAATGGAAGTTCTTAACACCAAATAAAAGGCAATTGATTAAATATAGAAGATAAATCCATGGATCTTGATTTACTCCAGATTTCTAAATCAAGATTAAAAGTGAGAAACTAATGGTCAAAATAAATAACTTTTGTTGACTGTGATTTACTATTTAATAGTATTTAATATTTAAATGACCTCAGTTCATTTGTTCATTTCTTCATTGATTCATACATTCATTTAAGTGTTCACATTCAAGAAATATTTATACACTAGGAGCTGTGCTAGATGAAGATAAAAAACAGATTCTTAATTTGAATGTGGAGAAACAGAAACCTTTATACTTTGCTGGTGGAAATGTAAAATACTGTAGCCACATTGGAATAGTTTGGCAGTTCCACAAAATGCTGAATATAGAGTTACTATATGACCCAGCAATTCCACTCTTACATACATATAGTTACAAGGAATATGAAAATATATACCCCCACAAAAACTTGTACATGGATGTTCACAGCCACATTATTCATCCAACAGGTGGAAATCTAAATGTCCATCAGCTGACGACTGGATAAGTAAAATGTGGTACAACCATATAAGGGACTATATTCAGCAATAAAAGGAAAGCAGTATTGATATGTGCAACAGTAAGGATGAAATTTTAGAACATTATGCTAAATGAACAAAACTAGTCACAAAAGGTGACAGACTG